GACTCGACCCACTTTCCTATATCACTCAACCCCTGTTGAGTCGTTAAGCAGAGCCACACACTAAGGCGCCTCAGTCATTTCTGTTTCTGGAGCCACACCTATTCTAGTCGAGCCGAGCTGCATCGAGATTTTTTCTTTTTTTATCTATTTATTTATTATTATTATCATTGTTTTTTCCTACTTATTTATTGATTAAATTGGAGTTATTTATTTATTTAAGTGAGCATTCTTTAATTTTTTAATGATTCTCTTAAAATAAAAATTTTTTAAAAATATTTTTGAGGAAAAGTTGAAAGTATCAATTTTTTCTTAAAAATAAAATTTTAATAAAAATTTCAAAAAAAGTATTTTTGATGAAAAGTTTGAAGTATTAATTTTTTTTAAATAAAATTTTAACAAAATTTCAAAAAAGGTATTTTTTAAGATAAGTTAAAAGTATCAATTTTTCTTGAAAATAAAATTTTAATAAAAATTTCAAAAAAAATTTTTGAGGAAAAGTTGAAAGTATCAATTTTTTTTGAAAATAAAAAATTTGAAAAAAATGTATTTTAGAGAAAAAGTTGAAAATATCAATTTTTTTAAAATAAAAATTTCAAAAAAAGTTTTTTGAGAAAAGTTAACAATATCAATTTTTCTTAGATAAAATTTCAAAAAAGGTATTTTTTAAGAAAAGTTGAAAGTATCAATTTTTTTTGAAAAAAAAATTTTAAAAAAAGTATTTTTAGAGAAAAAGTTGAAAGTATCAATTTTCCTTGAAAATAAAATTTTTAAAGAAAAATTAAAAATATCAATTTTTTTAAAAATAAAATTTTCAAAAAAAAATTGTTCAGAAAAAATTGAAAGTATCAATTTTACTTGAAAATAAAGATTTCAAAAAAGGGATTTTTGAGAAAAAATTGAAAGTATTAATTTTTCTTGAAAATAAAATTTTGAAAAAAACATTTTTAAGAAAAAGTTGATAGTATCAATTTTTCTTGAAAATAAAATTTTCAAAAAAAACATTTTTAAGGAAAAGTTAAAAGTATCAATTTTTCTTGTATAAAAACATGAGTTTTTTTTATATAACCTCTATAGGAAAAATAGTAATTTTTTTGTATACTCTTAAAGTGAAGAAATTTTTTAATTTTTTGACAAAAGTATTGGAGTCAATTAAAGATAATTTCTAATAATTAATTACTTGGTAAGATTTTTAAGGCTTAATGGATAACATGAAATCGAGCTAGTACTATCTTTAGATGGGTGTTATGGGGGTGTAATAACTTTTCCCACACGTAATCGTACACTCGGACTTAGTTTTGGTTTCGTAGACACTGAATCTACCTTTTAAATATATTTAAGTCAAATTTAAAATTTTTCTTTAAAAAGAGACAGATTCAATTAGGTAACCAATCACACTTAAATAAAAAAGATCGGTGACAAATTTTTAAGTGAATATCTAACGATAGATCTTTAGATGTAGACGTTATAACATACATACAAAGTTAAGGATACGGAGGAGATATTAAAGGAAATATTCGAACTGATCCGTGGGCCTCCAAGCATCTAGATTACTATGAATATTCTAGTGTCGAGATATAAAAACTTCAAAATTCAACTAATTTTCTCAAGGAATCATCCTCAGGCTCAAGTGGGACACAAAATTTCTTCCTTAACCGATGTAAATACCCTCTCGTACCCCACCTTCTTCCTCAGGTCTTTCTACTGAGGTAAAACACTAAATTTTCAACTATTATCAATAAATAAGATGGAGTCAGCAGAAAGCCTGCGGTATTCTATCTCAATTCACATGTACTCGCTCACACAGACACACACAGACGCATGAGCATGCACCCATCAAATGAACTAACATATAAGCAAAAAATTGGAATGCACTCTGAAGATTAATGTTATCACATAGATAGTAGTGATTCTGATGCTAAATTAATCGATGAATTGTTGTGAGCTACAGGAACAAATGTGCAGCCTGCTTCAGACAGTTCAACAGAATGGAGCACCTGGTTCATCACATGAGAGCTATGTATCATTCAGTTCAGGAACCTACTTGCGGAATTTGTAACTGCAAGTCGTTTGAATCTTTAAGGGAACATCTTATAGGTGAGTGCACATTGTCATACATGTCTTGTTAATCCAAAGGGTATTTTTGTTCTTTCTTGGGGACAGATCCTTGACTCTTGAGTACTAATTTGTTCCTAATAGGCCCGTTGCCAAAACAAGAATGCAAGAATTTGTTCAACATCCAAGGATGCAAATTCTGCTTAGCCATCCTGGATAGCCCTATGCTCTAAGGATTCATCAAGACAGATGCCAGCTCTCCGGAGTAAATTATGTAATTAGCCTTTAGCTTCAAAAACTACATGTTTCAACTATAACACCTAATTCCCCCTATTCTCAAATTTGAGTTTAAAATGTTCTTTTACATGATTTCTTGTTATAGGGAATTCTGACTCGCCTGGCTAATTTAGGTCTTTAAGATAGTTTGACTATCGACAATGGTTTTTCAAGAGGCCAGCAAGTAGTTGCTCTGGCATGCAAAATGGTTGGTGGGGCCAGTGATGGCTTATTGGATCTTTGTGCAAGGGTTTGCATCATTGATGAAAATGAGAATATGATCTTCCATACGTATGTCAAACCATCAATTCCAGTAACAAACTATAGGTACCATATTGATTATGGATAATGATAATTATGTCAATAGGCAAATTCTAGTAATTAATCTAACAAATTGGATCAAATAAGCCAATTCACATTTTTGAACTACTTTCAGGTATGAAACCACTGGCATTCGACCGGAATATTTGAGAGATGCAATGCTATTGAGACAAGTGCAAAGAAGGATTCAAGACTTCCTTTGCAATGGAGAACCAATGTGGAGAATTCGATCAGCTAAAGGTGGAAAAGCTAGGATTCTGGTCGGTCATGGTCTTGATCATGACCTTGACCGTCTGCAAGTAGAATATCCAGGAATCATGATAGGGTAAAGTTTAAGGATAATGCTAATAATCCAAATTGCCCATTCATCTTTTGCCTATATATTCTACTTTTAAAACGGAAATTCATGTGGAAAATACAATTAATATGATATAATTAAGTTGTTTTTTTACCAACAGAGATACTGCAAAATATCCTCCCTTGCTGAAAACAAGCAAACTTAGCAACTCACTCAAATACTTAACCCAAGCGTACCTGGGGTAAATATCTATATAGACCATTTTTCATTTTTCATGATATCTGCTATTGATAATTGTTCAGGAGAATGGTGCAAATTCTATGTTCAGGTATGACATTCAAACTGGAATTCAAAACCCTTATGAGGACTGTGTTGCAACAATGAGGCTTTACCTGAGGATGAGGAACCAAGTTCATAGGAGAGAAGACTATCCACTGGCTTCCGACCCTCAAAACCAAATCAACTTTGCATCATGGATGACCGCAGAAGAAATGCTGGCTATCTCAAGGTCTGATTACTACTGTTGGTGCTTGGACTCTGCATGAACTCTGAATGCCATCATATCTAAGAAGAGCATATTATATACCTAACTTTTTCATCCCATCACTTGTAATAGCAATAATAAGGAATTATAGATCTATGCACCAGTAAAGGTATGAATAAAAGGAATTATATGACTATTCTATGACTATCTCCTATATTGTGTTCACATTTGTGAATGACTAAACTAACTAAGATATCTAAGCCATGTCCCCTTCTATTTCAGTAATTAATATCATCATCTTCCCATATCTATGCTGTTTTTATTATGCCCATTTTGTTATAATTTATATCATAACCGTGTAGATCTACACCTGCGAGCTATTGTTTAACATAAAAAAAAAAAAACAAAAGACTAGTGATAATTGCATTAATTAACTCTATCATGATTAATGAACAACAAATTAATTCATGAAACCACACTGTCATCTTTCATCCTACAAAAGATAGAATAATTTGCGAGTTCCTTTTGTTTCTTTCTTCCTTTAATGGAGTTTGAACAAGGAAAATTACTTTTAATGTAAAAACTTAACGAGGATAATAACAATCACATTCAGTACTGTTTTCACATTCCCCAGCAGCGGTTTTTCCAAAAACATATCTACATTTTCTTACACAATCTTCAGCCTTGCACACCATGTTTACCAGAACTTTGCAAGCATTAGCGTCCTCCATGGCTGCTTCACTTCCTGAAAAAAAAATGTATAATTGAATTAAACCCAAAATAAATAAATAAATAAATAAATAAGTTGTTCTTGAATAAAATAGCCCTAGAAAAAAAAATGAGAGAGGAAATTCACCAAAACTGCTAAGGAGAACAGTCAGAACGACAAAGGTAATGAAACCTTTCATGATGAAAATTTTGCTTGGGCTTGCTTGGGCGTGAAGGTATATATTTAACGAATATGGAATGCTTATGGCTAGAATTCTAGGGTTTGAATGATAAGAGTAAAAGTCAATGAAATATTTGGATAAGATTTGATTGGATTTTTTTTATTTTTTAATATTAAATTTGATTTGATGTTATATAAAATTATATTTTATTTTATTTTATTTAAAATTTATAAAATATTATTTTTTAATATAAATATAAAATTAATTAATTAAAAAAATAATTTTTTTTATGTACATATATCTGATCGGGTTTATCTAAAACCCGATCTAAGTTTTTTAATTTCAATAAACTATTTTTTTTTTAAAATCTTAGAGAAAATAATAATTAATTAATAAGCAAATAAAGCTCAAGTAAGGAAGCAAATAGCATTATACTATAATACTATATGTTTCTTCTGTAGTCAGAATTTCTGTTACTGGAAAGCTTAGCAGTTTAGAATTGAATAGTTTCCTTGTTTATAGAATTGCGTTTTTTCTTTTTTTGGGTTCTGTGTATTTAATTCTTTCTTCTTTTCCTATGATCTGTCCGTTTCAGACTGTTCCAGGATATGATGTTGCTGGTGTAGTGCTGAAAATGGAAAGCCAAGTTAAGAATTTGAAGGTAGGAGATGAAGTATAAATGGGAACATTCATGAGAAAGACCTGGATCATCCCTAAACAGTATGGCACTTTAGCTGAGTACACAGCTGTTGAAGAGAAGCTGTTGGCTCTCAAACCAAAAAACAAAAACCAGTGTTTTGCTGAAGCTGCAGGACTGCCACAGGGCATTGAGACTGCATATGAAGGCCTTGGCCGCTCTGGGTTTTCTTCTGGTAAATCCTTTCTTGTTCTTCAACTGAGAACACCTAACACTATTTTCAAGGTAATATTAAAACAGGGCAATGTGAAAGGACTGTCAAAGAAAGTGGGCGTGTTGTGGCTGTTACTGTACCAACAATAGAGACAACCACAATTGATCAGGTTCTAGAGATCAACTTGATCTCCGCACAAGGGCTTATAGAGTCATCAGTTATACCCCATCGTCGCATGAAAACCTATGTTGTTGCTTGGGTTGATTCATTCACCAAGCTTCATACTCGAGTTGATCCTGTTGGTGGCAAAAACCCAACCTGGAACGACAAGTTCCTCTTCAAAGTTTCACCCCAGTTCCTTCTCAGCAAAACTTCTGCTGTTTCTATTGAGATTTACGCCATTGGTTTCTTTCGAGATAGGCTTGTTGGTAGGGTTCGTTTTCTTATCAGCAACTTCCTTCCAACCGCCTCGGCTGCTGCGATGAAGACTCCTGCTTTTGCTGCATACTTAATCCGCAGCCCTTCTGGTTCTGGGGGATTCTTTGGAACCCTAAACATTGGAAGAATGGTTCTTGATCCCTCTGTTGGTTTCCAGGCCTTGAATGAAGTCTCCGCTATCGATTACCATGATCTTACAGGAGAGAATCTTGATGTTAAGCATCATCCGAGAACAAACAAGTCCAAGGCTGCACTTAAGGATATCATGGAGTCCATCCCTAGTGATTCTGATGATCAATTGAAAGCTGGTGATTCCTTAACTTCCTCATCATCACCTCCACATATGGTGTTGATGTAGTTGAGCTTGAAAGGAAAGAACGAAGATCATGGAGTTTTAACTCCAGAAAAAGAAACTTTACTTGAAGAAGGGAAAGAAGAAAAAACTAGTGTTAGCATGGAGCAACCTCTGGCACCCAAACTGGTGCCTCATGAAGTTGCTGAGGAGGTGATTTCTGATAAAGAAGGAAGCATTGTTAAACTGGAAAAAGATGTTAAGATGATCATGGAAGAGAACAAGAAGCTAAGGGAGATGGTTGACATGCTCATGGTAGAAACAAAGGAACAATCAGCTGTTATATCAGACTTAAATGGGAGAGTGAAAAACTTGGAGTGGAAGTTGTCAAGGAGGAACAAACAGAGGAAGCCACAATATGGGAGAACAGCATCTGCACCTAATTCTACAATGCAGAACAAGGAAAACCTTTTGTCTAAGATCATAGTCGGACATATCTATCTTTTCTATGCTTTTGCTTGTAGTTTCTATCTATGTTTCAAGGTTTAAATACTTTTCATTTTGCAATTCCATTCATTGTAGATGCCGCATGGCTTTCAATATAAACGAATAACATGTTTTTTTCCCATCGCTTCATTGAAACTGGAAGAGTTTCTGTTTTACCTGTTGTCATTTTATGATATTATACTAAAGAGCCTATTAAGAGTTCTGGCACTGGATTATACTGGGTTCAGTGAGGCAGATAAACCAGCAGAAGCTGCAATAAACAAAATTTGAGCTCCTCATCATGTTTACTTTAGCTTCTAGTGGTTATCTGCCTGATCAACCTCACCAAGGATTTAACAAATTCATTGAAATTTGCTTTGGCTACTATCAGCCATTGATTTTTCTATCAAGTCGTCATCCTCAAAACTATTCCACAAAACTGAGTCAAACTTGCAATTAAAGTCATTTGATCAAACTTGTTTCTTTTTTTCCCACTCTTGATATATATATAAGCCCATTAGGTGTAATATCATTATCTGATTTAGAAACAATACATAACATATTTGTTTGATTTTGATGAATTTGAACAATTTTGGTAGAAACATTTGCTTTTTAAAAAGATCAAAAGAAAAACAATGTAGGAATGTCAAGATAAAATCACTTTGTCTCCAAACAATCCGAGCTCCGGAAACCTGTCAAAAGTTTGCAAAGCAATCAGATTTTTTTGGTCCCCCTAAAAGTAATAATTGAAGTGGCTAAACCCAAACAGACACAATCAGCCTGGCCCACTTTTATGGTCAATTGAACCCAACCCACCTTATAGGCAACGAAGTGGACCTAATGCGGGTACTTGGACCTGGACATGGCATGGCAGCGCCATCTTCTTGAGCCCACCCCTTAATCTAACCTCATATCATTGTCTCTTCATTAGACTTGTATATCTCAAATTTGTTTTGAATTCATTTGACATCTTTGTTTTATAAATATTCCAAGTAAAACAAGCGTAAATTTCTGAATAGAATTCAATGCTTCATTGTTCTAAACCCTGCCTCCTGCCACCTGGTTCCAGTACATATAGTTTCCTTTCAACAATTTAATCTTTACATAACTCATATGCAGATCCCAGAAGTATTATCGGCTACATAGATTTGAAAGTACAAAGGGTATAACCAGATATAAGTGAGCTTGAGGCCAAGGCAATAAATGCTACCAGGGACAATGCCATAGATGCCCTTGCCATCTCCGGGAACTTGTCTTTTCCCCAGTTGGATTGCCAGTCATCAACTCGGACAGCAGCTGATGATGATGCCGATATGAGAAGATATGCCAGCATCTGCCAAATAAAAGAAATAGTACAGCATCACTTTTAAGTGCTTCAGCACACAGATAGATTAATCATGTCAATATATCATGTCAATATATCATGTCAATATGAAGAATAAACTGAAACCATGTATTATCTACTTCACCTCTCTATCTTGAAAGTTCCAGGCCAATTCCCAAAGCCACAAGAGCACAAATGACTTGGTGGCTAAAGAATTTTGGTATCTTAGCCACTACAGATAAAGGGTGTTAAATTTGAGAATGATACCCGAAAAAGAAACAGAAAGGAGAGAAAAACATAGAAAGAAACTTGTCTGTTTTGTGCCTTATACTTTATCATGATAGAACAAAATGCATAAACTCAGCTTATCAAATTAACTTAGCTTAGTAGCACCCGATTCACCTGTTACTAAAAGGTAAAGCGACTCACAATCTTAATTTCTAAGTATGTCTAATGCTACCTCAACAGTTTCTTTATCTACTCATCTCAAAATGTATAACAAGCTTTGTGGGAGCTGATGTTAATTGTCACTTTTACACGGCTGCTCTAGATTTGACAAGCATTGCTTGCACATTAAGCGTTTTGATATTGCAAAAGTTACCCCAAATTCTCCGCTTTGAAAAAGTACCAACTTTTCACCAGGCCAGTAGCCACAATACAATACAGGAAACAAGTTGAGAAAGTGAATGCAACATTATCACAGAGAAAAGGCATTAAAAAGGTCATCAAAAAGTTTTCCAACAATTGAACTGGTACCAAAAATATGTTCTAACCTAAGCAATTCTTGGTGAAACAACGCCTATGCAGAGCCCATATACAGATGAATACACACCAATAGTGTGCCTAGTTCTTGCAAAAAACTAGTGATTACCACACACCGGCCATTGGAGTCATGCAACACCACCTTTATAGGCTGTGGTCCCGTAAATTACCTCATGACAGTCATCCCAGAATTAGGTGTGGAATTAAACTTTGGCCTAGGTTAAGTATAATAATTAGCATTTAAAAACAAAAAAGGTTACCTGATCCAAGATGAAATCTAAGTAGCACCGGAGGTGACTCCGGGGTTTCTGTTTTCCGGATGTCAATTGGTAGGCTAGATCATATGCCTGAAACCCAGAGTATACGAATCCTATCACATTCACCGCCATACAGAACCTGCAAATCCAGTAAACACCATTGTAGATCAAACAATACAGAAAAGCCAATAAAATGAAACATTGAACAAAAGATTTGATATGAACAGTTAGAACTTAAAACAATAAACATCATTCAAGCCAATGGCTGAACATCTTATCAGGCTTTTACTAATTAGTTTGATATGCAAAAGAAAACGAGATCTTTACATATACCATGTAGACCCACAAATGGATAGCAACAACCAATAACTTTGGATGCACACTCATTTTAAATAAGAACAATATGAAACAGCAAATAAAAACCACCATAGAAGTCTTGCAAATGAATAAAACAAAACACCTAGAAGGCGGAAAAAGCCACCAACCTGAACTCCTTGTAGCGGTAGAAAGAATCAAGAGCCCAACCTTGATCTTTATCAGCAGCTAAAACAGAGAAAGAAACCAAACAAAAAACAAACCCAGAAATTCGAAACCCCAACAATGCCCTTTTCACCCTCTTATCTCTCTTGATTCTTCTTAATATGGACAAATGAGTACCATAACCAGGTTTTTGACTCTGCTCCTCAACTTCAATAGTAGAAACTGCCACAGCTGGTGGCATGGAGTTGGGGTCAGAAGGCTGAGATATTGGTGGTGGGTCAGAGAAGCCGTAGCTGAGAGAAGAGTGATCAGGTGAAAGTTGAGAATCAACAGGAGAATGATCAAATGGTGGTGATTGAGCTTTTGGAATAGTCCTTGGTGAAGTTGACCTCTTGCTTAATGGAAATGGTGATAATGCATGGTTTTGCTCATTTTCTGCTTCCTCTTGTTGTTTATGTTTTTCTTCTTGCTTTTTCTGTTGCTGTTTCTGTTGCTGTTTCTCTTCATCTTGATGGTGTTGTTGTTGTTGTTTCTGTTCTTCTCCTTCTTCTTGATGTTTTTGATGTTGTTGTATATCTTCTTCTTGATGATGATGTCGTTTATCTTCATTTTGCTGTTGCTTCTCGTTCTCCATTCTTGAATAAGGAGGATTGATTGAGTTTTGTGGTTACAACACTTTGAAAGCGAACTCGGCTTGGGTTGATCAGGGTCTGGGCTATTAATATTAGTAAGTGAAGGGGGGGACCGGAACTGAAGAAGACAAGAAGATGACATACGTTATTTCCTAGGCTGGTTAACACCTATACTCGCCTGTTACAGTTACGCTGTATTTGTTTAGTGGAAAATAATTTTGAAAAATATTTTTATATTTTTACTTATTTATTTAATAAAAAACTGATTGATTAATGAAAAATAATTTATTCTTTAATTAAAAAATAAGTAATTTTTTTTAAAATTATCTTGTCATCTTCAAAAAAAAAAAAAAGATAATTTGAGTAAAAAATTATTTATGAATAGAACTACTTATTAATATATTTGAATTTAATTTTAGTTAAGTTGAATTTTATATATGATTTTTTTAGCTCAATTTTAATTTGACTTTATTTAAAAAATTATTATATTAATAAATAATATTTTATTTTATTTTATTTTAAAAAATAAAATATTAATATTAAAAATATTTTAATATTTTAACTTTAAATATTTTTATATGTATACTAAAAAACGACTTCGAACATAATATTTTAAATTCAAATGTGATTTTATTTGATTTTAAATATTATTATATTAATAAAAATATTTTATTTAATTTTTATTAAAATATTATCATTAAAATTTTTTTATATTTCAATTTTAATTTTTTTTGTATATTATTAAACATAAATATTTTTAATATTTCAATAATAAATAATATTTTATTATTTTACTAATAAATAATAATATTATATTAATAATGTTTTATTTTTAATAATTAATGTTAAATAATATAATAATATTATTTTCTTAATATGAAAATTTAATAATTTCTTATTAGTTTTTAGTTAAAATATGTAGTTTTTATATTTTATTTTATGATATTTATATTACTCTTTAATAATAAATATAAATAAAAAAAGAATTTTGTTATGATTTAATAATAGATACTTTTAATATAAAATGTAAATATTTTATAGAATAAATATATTATTAATAAATATTACTATTTTAATATTAATAAAAATAATATTTAAAGAATAATAATACTACTTAAATATTTTAAAATATTAATATAAAAATAATAAATAGTTTTATTTTAAGTATTTTTTATTAATATAACATTTTAATATTAAATATTATTATAAAATATAATTATTCTTGAATATTAATAATTTTAATAATACATAATTTCAATATACTTTAATAAAAAATAGTTTTTAATATTTTAATAGTGATATTAATATTATTCGAAAAAAAAAAAATTTTAAAAATCAACTAAATAACAGAAAATATTTTTCATTAACTTATCCAATCAATAAAAATTTATATTTTTTCAAAAAATGTAAATATTTTCTAGAAAACATTTTTTGAAAGTCAATTTTTACAAAATAAATGAAACCTTAATAACATCATCACTTTTGTCTCTTTTTTTTAAAATTTTTATTAGAAGTACTATTTTTTGTTATTTTTTATTTATTTATTTATTTTTAAATATTTTAAAATTATATATTTTTTAACATCTAAAACTCTTAGTTTTTGTATTTCAAAATTACTTTTATGATTTTTTGTTTACTTTTTTACATTAAAAATCATAAAACTTTAATTGCATAAAAAATTTTAATTTTAATATTAAATATATTAAAATCAAAACTTTTTTTAATACCCAAAAAATTTCGAAAAAGTACTTATTTTCAAGTTTCAACTTACAATTAGATTTGGTAATTTATTTTCAAGAATTAAATTATGTAATTTTTATACTTATATTATATTCATTTCATATCAAATACATATAAAATATAAGAATATAATATTACAAATCTAACATAAAACACAATTTTTTATCAAATTCATATAAAATTTTTATTAAAATTTTAAATCATATCATTTTTATATAATTTTCATATCTTATCGTTATTTTTTAAAAAATTATCAAATTTACTTAAAATATGAAAAAAAAAAAAAGTCATTGTAAATGTCAAGCAAAGTTGAAATTTTACAAAGAAATTTTAATACTAGTAAATTCTATAAAATTAATACATAATTCAAGAATCAACAAGCCCTGTATAAAAATCCAAAAAGAAACAGATTTTTATCAACAATCTCAGACATAATACCATGTTTTAGATTAAATAATTTTGCTTGATAAAAAATGTATGAATTCTTAAATTCCGTACGGATTTTTTCCTGTAAACTACTTTTTCAGTTTCACATGGACCAATAGGATGTAAGATGCGAAACGACATGACCATGGTTGACAAGAGAATAAGATTTGTGTTGAGTTCGAATGAAACTTTGAGCTTTGAATGTTACAAAGTGAATTGCATGAGCCATGAACCAAGCTTTATGTTCATACAAACTTTGAAGACTTGATTATTAGCAATATAAATGATCAAAACCAGTTATTGTCAATTAGGATCTATCATGCATTTGAAAGACACAGATTTCAGAAGACAGGGAAGATGTGCTTATGACCTTGTAAAGAACTCATGTGCTTCATGGTAGCGATCTAATACAACATTGTAAAGGGGATGGATGGGTTCCAGGAGATTGGAATATGGACCTAAAACAGCGCTGGGTGATGGCGGCGAATCCTCATCTTCCGACCAGCTATGTTGACACACTGAGAGGCCGCTTAGACAGTAACATGTATGATAATGGTCTCTAGACTTGCCAGGTTTGTCTCTGAGTCCACCATTAGGCTCCTGCAGTAACAAAAACAGGTTACAATTTAAGCAGTTTTGAGCAACAAATGTGAGGCCGAAGTTGTTTCATTTTGGAGAAAGTGGTGATGATTTTTCAACCAATTAGCAACCCTAATCCACTCATTATGTTCGAATGTTGAACCTGTGAGCATAAAAGAATGTATTGCTGCAAGGCCAAGCTGTTGAAAGGAGGTTCCACTTTTGCATGCATCTTGCTAGAATTATGATCAATATTATCAACATTAACTCGACAGGAAGCATCATGTTGATCTGCAAGACAAGATAAAAAATCAAATTAAAATACAGCTCTCGTGAATTATAGGGAAAACAAGAAAGAGAGGAAAGCTGGACTGAATCATGGACTACTTAAGCAGCCTACCTCCATGCTCAGAATGGCTGCCACCCTGAGATAAATCCTCGTTCAAACCTTCTTCTCCTGTTGCATCCGATGATGCGGTACTTTGCGGACTTTCTGCACCACTATCTTCTCCATCATCCAATGGTATTGATTTTTCTCCTTTAGTTGAATGTAATCTTTTTAATAATGCAAGTACACCTCCCTGGTCACTTTCCTTGGTTATATTTCATTTCAACTCATTAGAAAGATGAAGGAAATGAGCAAAAATAGAAAATCACCTGCCAGAAGGAGTAACAACCATCAACCAGTTTATTAGTTCTGCCCTGAAATCCACCCTCCACTCCTTGCCGGAAAACCACCCAATCCTATAGAAGAACTTAGGTACATGTTTATTAATATAATCACAAGAGACTGCTATCATAGTTTGCATGAAGAAGGATAATAAATTTAATGAAGCGCAATGACAGTCTTACAATTAAGCTAGACAAATCCAGACGATCAACCTCATTGATTAGAATCATTGTAGCCAAACCACAGAAGGTGTACCTGATGAACAAATTAACAGAACTTTAAGAGGCTTTCTCATATTGGATACGGGCAAATTCCACAAGCAACATATGATATGGGTATACGGTATATGCGAGGAAGTAAACAATGAATCAAATTTCAAGGATAATGATTAAATTTATTATTTGAGAAAACAGGTAATGCAACAAGCAAAATGAGAGCAGAGCAGAACATACCCCCCGTGGGCTTCAGAACCAGGTTCCCCAGCAATGCCACCTTCATAAGTTTGACAACTTCAAAGAGATGGAACAAACTATTTCAGTCACATGGAAGACACAATAGGCATCAAGACACAGCTCAGGTAACAATTAATAGTATGCATTCAGCCCATGCATTCCGTGATACTATTTTAATATATGCACAAAAGATCAATTCCATTGATGTCATTGAAGCAAAGCAACAATAGTGCACTAACAGGAACACTAAGAGCTTTTCTTGGTTATAACAGTATAATCATACTAAAACAAAGCATATCACTCAGTCCTGAGAAGCGTCCAAACTACAGCAACTTTAAAACAATATAAAGTGAAGACTACAACAAAAAGGCCCCCATGTTCCGGACTCTCTTTGTATTATTCAAATTTTGAGCCCCCAACTCACTGATCCCTTCTAACATGTTTACATAAAGCAGTGCTATTGGAGAGTGAGGAATATGAGTAGAGGTTCTAACCTTTAAGCACCTAGATGAGGCTTTTACAATTTTTATGCATGCCACAGCATACAAATGAGCTTTCTAGCAGCCATAAAACAAAGAAAAAGGACATGGAAACCAATTAAACCAAAAACAAGTTGAAGATGAAAGCAAAGTTAAAACTAGATACTGACCTTAAGATGTAATTTCCAACATTTTGAACAAGATCATCATCCAAAATATTGAGGAGACTTGCAACCCGGTCAAGAAAAGATGGCCGGCTTATTGCAAAGATAGAACAAACTTGAAAACAGTGGTCTATAATTTAAAATTGAAAACTGATAACAAATACATGCAACCCAAAGGAAACAATAGATCTATGATAATGGTGGAGCTTGCCGATCAAAACAGTAATAATATTAAATTTTCAGCATGACTGCATGCTTACTGAGATGGCTGTATAACATGCTCGAACATCAATTTCTCCTCCATCATGCATTCTGCCAAAAAAAAAAAAAAAAAACCAGCAAGAATGCTTAAAATTACAACCTAAACACTTGTTTTCAAGGAAAAAGATATGAACAAGTTGGAATTTTCCTCATAGCAAACACTGCAATCCCACATACTTGAATGTAGATTGATTCAACTACAACAGAACATTAACCAAATACAAAGTCATTCTTTAGCAAAGCAACTTGAAAGACAAGAAGTAAATTTCATAGAATCTGTTAGAAGGTGGCTTCAAACTTAAAAAAAAAAAAAAAGACAAAGATGAAGAAATGTGTCACACCTGAAGCCCCCACTAGGGTCCTTCATTTGCCACAAAAATGTGTACAGTTTTTCTCTGAAGGAAATTGAAAATTTCCATTAGATCATTTTTAAGAAAAACTTCAAAATCTATTGTAGCATAATCTGACCACCTATTAATTGATGACAAAGCTTTGTCACCGCCCAAAGTAACAAGTGAATTGACTGCAGCATATGTTGTTGCAAGATGAGGCATCTGGAAAAAGAAATTATAACATATGCATAAAATGTGGTATAACTTCAAAGACAGTAAGAGAAAGAAACCCAGGTAATAGAAAATAGGATATATCATATAATTAAGAATCAATTAAAAATAGGCCACTTCACTTATTACAGTTAGCATACAAGAAGATAGTAGGTTAGATTTTAACAATGATCATATCCACAATTTACTTGCCTGTCCAGGTCCACCACCATACCCACCATTAGGATCCTGTCAGTGATAAGAATACATATACAAATAAAAAGATATATCAGATAACCATTCCAAAAAAAAAAAGATAGACACCAAAGAAAACAAACTTGTAATCATATAGTTCAATCAACTAGTAAGCACCAAGCTCTAGGCTGGTAAAAGCTGGATTAGAGCACAAGCACAAGTTCCAATCCATGTGCATAAGCACACACATTCTGCAAACAATGCATTCTTATCACCATATAAACCAAGCATACACCTAACCGATAAAAGTACGATGAAGTATAACAATAATGGAACCAAAATGAATCGAAATAACCATAAGCATAATAAATGCAACCATCAACACTCTTGCAATACTAGTTTCAATCTTTGAAGTAATAATACCAACATAGTAAGCATTCTCCAACTAAATGGGATCAATTATGTGAATCATAGCATTGTGCCCTGTTTGAGATCATATCCTCAGTAAACTCAGCAACAACAATCATTCTTCAAACCAATTTTTTAAAAAATTGCTAAATAGATTATTTCACATAAAATGATGTACAGTTACCATGAAAATCCGATACTAATCATATTCAAATAATAAGGATCCACAAAACCACGGATAGAAATATATAATTTAAAAAAATTCATAAATTTTTACTACCTGACAACGACTGAGAAAATCAATAGTATTATCCTCCAATTCAGGATCTATAAATTCGTCCATTAAAGCAATCGAATGAAGAATCCAATAACAAATCCAAGGCCGACTGCATATTAAACAAACGATTTTTTATTTTTCCTCTAATTTTAATTAATTAAAGTACTAACTGACAAATTAGCTAAAAAAAGGAGATATACTTAGCATCTAATACGCAGAAAGCAGGACCAAGCTGTTTTAATCCTTCCGTCAAGTACCCCAAGTGATTTTCCCTTTGAAGCTCCAACCTATCAAAAAATCGAATAGAAATTCAAAATAAGAGAAAATTAAATGAAAATTTTAAGGGTTTTAGGGATATACTTCAAGGATTTGGATCTGGGAGGCATGTCGTAGAAAGTTTCGTATATGTTGAAGACTTGTTGCTCAACCAATATTTGATCGCGCTGAGTCACGGTTAGGCTCGAGAACGATTCCATCGTTTCGAATTCGCCGTCGGTGACACAGTGGCCTGAGACACTTAGCTGGCAACTCACTTTCGGTTCACCTGCAGACAAAAGGGGGAAAGGAAAAAAAAAGCGGGAGACACTCTTTACTGTTTAGACACGGATTTGCTTATCTGGACTTAACCAGGGGAGGAAAACCTTTATCCACCTGCCCCAAATAATTCAGCAACTACCTCAATTATTTGTCTTGTATTTTTTATTCTTAAATTTTTGGTAAAAAACATGGTCAATTTTGATTATTGTGCCATGTAGGATGGTTACATCTCTTATCAAGGGGAGGATAAACATTGATGATTTTTTTTTTTTTTTTGGATTTGTCACAATGGTTTTTACTTTTTACCATTTTCCATCATTTTGACGGTACAATTCATAAATTGAAATTGGGTAAAAAAAAAAAGTTTAATGTAACAAAATTTTAAATTTTTTTTTCCATCAACAAATTTCAAGTTCATAAACTTGAAACCAATGCAAAATTTTAACATTCATTTAAAGAGAAAATATCACTTATTTTTCATTTGTTGATTTAGTAATTAAAAAACTTTAAAATATATATAAGCGTAAATTCTAAGTGAACAAAAAACAATTATTTCACTTACAATAAAATTTACTTTGAGTGATTTATAACATTTTTCAAACAAAAATTATGGATCAATTTTACTTTGGGTAAGAATATAAATGTTATATTAATACTTCTATAATTACTTAGATTCGATTCAAATAAATTTTAAATTTAATTCGATTATTATCGAATTAAATTTGAATTTACGTAACTTAACTTATCAACTTATCGATCAAATGAAATTCAAGTATTTTTATATTCAATTTAAATTATTCATGAGCTTAATAAAATTTTTATATTTTAATATATTTTAATTATTTTAATTTATAAAATATCTCGCACTCAAATTTAAGTTTAAATATAAATAATCATATTTTTACATAATATAAAATTTAAATTTATTTTTATATTTTAATCAAATTTAAACGAATGAATTCAAATAATTTAATTTTTATTTAAAATTAAACTCAAATTAAAAGAAAAAATTCAATCGAATTCGAATCAAATTTCAAGTATAGAATTTAAAGTCGAATTCAAGTTATGTCTTTAATTTTTTAAATTATTATAAAATATTTAATATTATATTTAAATTTTAAAAATCATTAATATTTTATTTAAATTATAAATTTATTAATTAATATAATATTTAAAAAATTATTTATTAGCCTTCTTTATTTGAAATAATTATTTTAAAAATAATAATACATGAAAAATTAATAATGTAAATATTAAATATTTTAACATAATTTAAGAGGATAAAGTTGCCTTACATGATTTCTATCTTATCGTGCATCTACTTGCAAATTTTTAAATGCCTACACTCACATCAGTCAACATCAACGTGGCGTTCGCCAATCTTGAAAAGAGCGAACGCAGAGTTAAGCACGTGAATTCACGACCCAATCACATAGTTTCTTCAATTAAAAAAGGAAAATATCTTCAGCAAGTGAGTAGAAGAGAAGCAAAAGCCAAGCTGAAATGTGCTTGGTTTTGGTTACTTTGGCTGTTGGCAATTGGCAACGGGCACTTATTTTTTGCCCTTAAAAGGGGCGGGTCAGTTTATCAGCTCAATAGATCACTTCCATTATTACTTCCACTCCTCAAAGAAAATCCTGTGTTGGTTTGAAGTGTTTTTGAGATATGGCTATGAAGCAAGTTGCTAGCTCTGCTATCAAAGCCTTGGCCAATTCTGGGTCATCTTCTGTTCTTACCAGACAACTCCATGTAAGCTCTTTCATGGTTTTTTTGTTTTTTTTTTTTTTTAAGTAGAAAGTTGGTTTTGATTATTTGATGTTAATATTGTTGTAGGCTTAGATTAACTACTTTTTATTGTTTAAGTCATCAAGTAATTTAATTTCATGGTTGAGATTAGCTTTTGCCATGGCCGCCCTTTGATCATCAAAACCCATGAAAGGGCCCGGCTAAGCCTTTGCATGCATTGGTGAAAGTGTAGCAGCTCCGATGTGGATCTGCACCTACTGCTTAAAAAAATATAACTTTTTTTGGGAAGGAAAAATCAGAGTTTATCACAACTTTGTTTTTTAGCAATTATTCCTGAAAAGTCAGGTTTCATCTTCTTTCATAGTATGGATTTTCTGGTTGCCCTGCATCTCTGTTTTGAGTTCGACTGTAGTGGTTTAAGTGCTCATGTCTCATAATATATTTGGCAACAGGCTTCTCCGGGGAGCAAAAAGATTGTTGGGGTCTTTTATAAGGCCAATGAGTATTATGCAAAGAATCCCAACTTTGTTGGTTGTGTGGAGGGAGCCTTGGGCCTGCGTCAGTGGCTGGAATCAAAGGGGCACCAGTATATTGTCACTGATGACAAGGAAGGACCAGACTGTGGTAAGTATTAAGATAGATGCCAACTGCATTGTCACAATTTGCACTTAATGTATAATCATTCATAATCATGAATGATATTTATACGCGAATGTCATGGTGGTCTTGCATGGGAAAGTAAATTTGGCTGGTATTGGTGGTGTCATTGGCCTAATTTTTGCAGTAAGTGTTCAGGTTAATGCAATAAGTTTATGGAAAATCAATAGACAATTGCTAGAATTCTGTATTGGAATTCATTTGTTTCTGTCATAACTTTGACAAATAGAGTGGCTCTTGTTGAATATATGACCGAAAAGAATTTATGTGCTATCAGAGTTCCTGATGGTATGGTAAGAGCATTTAACAATGTCACTGGCGAAGTCTATAGTTTAGAATGCCAGCAATGTTGGTTACATCATCGGCTGTAATCAGTTCATCACTATCTGTTGGTGCTATGATACAAATAGCTAATCCATGGCATCCTTAGATTTATCTTACAAGCTGAAGAGGGTAATCTGAGAGATACTTTTCTTGGCCTAACTCATTATGTATTTGGGCAATAAAAATAGCTAATTTGTGAAAGATTTTAAAATATGAGTTTGATTTTAAACCTTTGTGCCCTTATTGCAGAACTCGAAAAGCATATCCCTGATCTCCATGTCCTCATAACTACCCCCTTCCACCCAGCCTATGTTACAGCAGAAAGGATCAAGAAAGCCAAAAACTTGCAACTGCTTCTCACGGCAGGCATTGGCTCTGATCATATCGACCTGAAGGCAGCTGCAGAAGCTGGCTTGACTGTTGCTGAGGTTACAGGAAGCAATGTTGTCTCAGTTGCCGAAGATGAGCTAATGAGAATTCTTATTCTTGTCCGGAATTTCTTACCTGGCCACCACCAAGTTATTACTGGTGATTGGAATGTCGCAGGTATTGCTTACAGAGCCTATGATCTTGAAGGGAAAACAGTGGGAACTATTGGTGCAGGGCGTATTGGCAAGCTCTTACTCCAACGACTGAAACCATTCAACTGTAATCTCCTATATCATGATCGAATCAAGATGGATCCAGAATTGGAGAAGCAGACTGGAGCAAAATTTGAGGAGGATCTTGATGCAATGCTTCCAAAATGTGACATAATTGTCATAAACATGCCTCTTACTGAGAAGACAAGGTCAGACTTCATTCTTTGCTTTTGAATGTCCGAGTCCTTCTATTAAATGTTGATTACTGTTTTTTGATATTGCTCAAAAATTTGCATTAAACTTATCATATTTATGATATTGTCATAGAGGGATGTTCAACAAAGATAGGATTGCAAAACTGAAGAAGGGAGTCCTGATTGTTAACAATGCTCGAGGAGCAATTATTGACACACAAGCAGTTGCAGATGCTTGCTCAAGTGGACACATTGCAGGTATGTTGTTCATTTGAAAATTGACGTGTGAAATCTAAATTTTGGCTGTAAAATGTCTTCTAGCAACTAGCATCTTTTGGATTTCTTTTTCCTTTTAAAATTAGAATGCAATCCTCGGATGGGAATGCTAAACAGACATGTCTTCCACAAACAACTTAAGGAGTAGCTTTAGGAAACATGTATTCTTTGGACAGAAACAAGTATCATTTGCTATCAACTGTATCAAATTGCAAATGTGTATCAAACTGGGTTTTTCAGGGCTGGTTTTTCACATTCCTCAACTATCAGGACAGTGCAAGACATAGTATTACATTAACTAGAAAAACATCTATCATTTTTCCTTCTTTACAGATAATATTTCTTTTCCCACTTGATTTTCAGGTTACAGTGGAGACGTTTGGAATCCACAACCAGCTCCAAAGGACCATCCATGGCGTTACATGCCTAATCAAGCAATGACTCCTCATATTTCTGGTACCACCATTGATGGACAGGTATGTTTAACTTTATGTTTCGTTCTCCTTTATGTTCTAATTTGTTCCTAACAACTAAGATGAAATGGAACTTGCACAGTTGCGATATGCTGCTGGAGTTAAGGATATGCTTGAGAGGTACTTCAAGGGTGAAGAATTTCCTGCACAAAATTACATTGTCAAGGAAGGTGAACTAGCTCCTCAGTACCGATGATTTCGTGCTTCATATAATTTGTCAGTTACTGAAGTCCTTTTGAAATAATGCACTGTTTAGTGAGCCTATTTCCTGTTTGAGGCTAAGTCCTGTGGAAATAATGTACCACCTATGGTGCTCTAAGCTATTTGTTTCCGAAGCAGAAACAAAGTTGTAATGAGATAACTTTTGATGATTATAATGTGAAATTTCATCTTTTTATCATTATGTGTGGTTGTGCATCAGTTATTTGGAATTTGGAAAGAGATATGAACAAAATAATAGTATTTCACTCACAAGCTGTTGTCATTTATGGTGCCTTTGTCAAAAGCTTGCACCAGAAAATGAGTTTCAGAACTACAAGAAACAACAAGAACAAAAGCAGAGAACAGGGAAAAGTGAAAGGCAGGGTTTTAAAATGGGAGAAACAAAAAAGAGAAAAAATCAACTGTGGTTTGTCTTCCATGGATAGCAATTTGAACGTGGAACCTGGGTTTTCAGTGAAGTGTTGATTTCCACATCATCACATAGTTGAGGATGGAAATTGTGGAGCCATTTTCTTAGCTTCAGTTTCTGATACCATGTGCGGTGTGAAGAAACAAAAGGATTCCATTTTTGTTTAACAGTAATTCTTTATGTTTCCCTGTTTTGTTTGAGGAATTCAAGGTCTTTCATTTGCATTTGTACAGCTTCCTTTGATAATGGCTTTGGTTCTTGAACATCGTCTGCATCACTACCCTCTGCTACTTTCGCTGCCTTGTCCTCAATAATTCTTTGTATCTTTGATTGCTCAACAGTTGGGAAAACGGCGGTAAGCATAACATTAAGCAACCTCTCGTCTTCCTCTTCTATTGGTTCTCTCCCAAAGCAACAGACATAAATTGCATCAAGAGCCTTCTCAGCTCGAATCTCCATGGGGACAGTTGGGGTGTCGACATTCAACTTTGCTCGCCTCTGTAGCAAGTATCAGTAAGTATGTATGCAACAGAAGCTGAAATGAGCATTAAAACCTCAAGGAACAACCTAACAATGGGAACACAAACAAAATGCACCCGTATAGAGTGGAGATTGTAAAGCAGTAATTATTCACCATTCTTTGTTCCAGTGATAAGTTATTGAGAGCCAATGCTCTAAACAATCAAGATCATTAGTTTAGCAAAATGGAGACCAGATGAAGCCTATATATCATGTGAATCAAAATCCATAGAACTATAAAAGCACTGTAACAAAAACCACAAAATCTAGCTAATACCAGACGTTTTTACTAGACCCTTTTGCTCTTTTGAACTTCGTTGAAACTCCCTTTCCTGCCATAATGGAACCTAACTTCACTAGAAGTAATAAACTATGTGACATGGACTCGAGATGCAGTGTCCGACACCGGAACGTGGTATTTTTGACAATATTTTAGATTAATTTTGAGAATACCCTTATGAATATTTAAGTGTCAGACACAAGAACCCTAGGGTAAAGTGAAGGTTCATGTAACATAGGTAATAACTAAAGTGCTTGGCTTGGCTTTTGTCTATTCATTTAACATACCATTTCCATTAGGTGTGATACTAAAATGGGATAATGAGTGATGAACTGACCTCTCTTGCCTCGCTCATCATTGCAATAAAATTTTGCTCTTCAAATTCAATATCATTTGAAATCCGAAGCCTAGCTACCCCCTCCAATATCTCCTCAGATTTAAGAAGACCAGCACCAACAGCTGCTAGCCAACAGCATAGCAGAACATACAATGGATCCCCTGCCTGTCCAAAAAAACAAAACCGCCCCAACTCAAAATCTTGGTTGCGAAACAGCATCTCAAAAACTATACTAGCATAACCAAGGATGAACAGCAAATGACAACAATATTAATAACAAAAAACAATAAACAAATTAATCAAAAGTTAGGGGCATAATCGAACAGATTCTATTTGTTTACGTTCATTTATTAGGTTTAACAAACGATCACAAACATCATTTTAAGATTAGTTATCTAAATGAACACATCAAGAGCCTAGTAAAGTTCATTCAGAACACATCAAGAACATGGTAAAGTTCATTCATATTTTGGTTCGTTTACAACCCTATCAAAATTGAAGTACTAAACATGCATTTCATACATTTACCCCACCAGAAAGAAGAATAAATTAGAGAAAAGGTTAAAAAAGAAATGAAAATTACCCGGCCTCTCCTATCTTGGAACTCATAGAAGGCTCTAGAATCCGTAATGGTACATTTCTTGCCAACCCTTCTTCTAAACTCAGCAAAATCAATAATATCCCCACCAACACCACCTTCATCACTAAGAATCCTAGCTACAAGCCCAATTATTGGGAGAGAACCAATGACTTTGTTGGCAAAACCAGAGATGGAGTTTGGGTTTTCCATGTAAGCTTTGATATTGGCCAAGCTGTAGCCATTGGAGGAGCTTGAATGTTTTGGCCTAGGCTGCTTTCTTGGGTTGCTGTAAAGTTGATGGAAACGGTGAAGTGAAGGTGAAATTTGGCTGCTTAAAGATAGACGTTGGTGAGTTTGAAGAGATGATGGCAATGGCATAGCTGCCATTGATGTTGTTGGAATTTGGAAGCTAATCTTGTTTGAAGATTGTGATTTTAGCCGCATGTTTATATATGTTATCCACTTGGAAGGTTGGATTCTCTGCTTTCTTGTGCACGGTTGTAATGGTGTGCTTTACATCGTTTGGGCCTTTTGGGCTTAATTCATATCAGACTTGTACAAGACCATTGAAAGCCTTGGTGGGCTCATATCAATTTTCCCATTTTTATTATTATTATTTTTTATAAAAAATTTATAGTCTAAAAATTAAAAAAAAATCGATATTTGAATTTCAAATTTATTGGATGTAAAAAGTGATTATCTGAATCAATCGAATTAAATTTTATTTTTTTTATTTTAATTAAATATAAATTTATTAAATTTTTTATTAAAAAAAATTCCAATCCTATTTTTTAAATAAAGGAATTATGTATTAACCAAATTATTGAACTTTACAAAAATGTAATTTTTCTTTATCATCACTTTGTGAATGTGTATTGCATTTCCAAGTTTAAGATATTGTACCCATGTCATGAAGTAAATAATAAAGCAACAAGAAAATTATAAAAATTTCCTAAAAAGAAAAAAGAATGTGATACTATTATTAGCTAATCTTGGATTATTTTTTATCCATTTTTAAGTTTTTAATCTACTCATAAATTCTTTATTTTACCATTTATTTTGTTAAAAATAATATTACATGCATAAACTCTTTTAAACTTATAATCTTCGAACATTAACTTCAATAACATGTTAATTGATTCAATAATCAGTCGATATTTTTAAATAATTAAAATGTGCTTAAATAATAAAAACATTTATACACTTATTCACCTATAAATCTAGTAATTTTAACGAATATAATCACAAATATTGTAAAGAATAAAGATATAACTTTATTAGAATTATTATAAATGAACAACGAATGAAAAATAAATGAACGAGTTTTAAACGAATTTATTTACGAACATAAATGAATTAAACAAATATTTGTTCATATTCGATTCGTTTAATAAATGAATATAAAAATATTATTCAATATTGCTTATTAAATTTAATAAACGAACATAAATAAATAAAAATCGAACACATTCATGAACAATTTGTCTAAAAGTCTATTCATTTACATCCCTAATAAAGTGTATCAAATGCATATTTTTCATGTATTAAATTATTAATTATTTTTATTTTATTTTCTCTTTATTTTTATTTAAAATTATTAAAATTTAAATTCCAATTACTAGAACAAAATTTAGCATATAACTTGGCTTTTGACCTTCTCTTTGTTTTTTTTTTAAGTTTGAATGATAGACTTTAAATGTTATATTGTTGAAGATTTTTCTTTTAAAAATCTATAAATAACTACCCAAAGTTATCTATAACTCAATTTAAAAATTTCAAAAAACATTTTTTCTAAAAAAAAAATCAAATTCTCTAAAACAAATGGTAATCAAAATTAATTCCTCATCTTAAAATATAAATCTAGAATATTTGAAATTTTATTTTTAAATTTAGCTTCAAATTCATAAATCTATAACAATATAAAAAAAAAAATCCCCAAAAAGTAGTGTTTATTTTAGACCTTTATATGAATAACATTTGTCCAAAATTAAAAAGGAATTCTATGAATTGATGAGGGTATTTGTGGTAAACAAGAAAGTCAAAAAGATAGAGAAAAGCACAAAATTACTAAAAATACTTTATCAAAAGTATTTTATTGGAAAGATTTTAAGTATTACAAGGAAAAACTAAAAAGCTAAAAAGAAGTGGTTCTTAACTTATGATCTAAGTTATGGTGTCTAGAAAAAAAAAAAATTTTCAATTTCCAAAGCCATAAGCTGTACGATCGATTGTTAATTTATCATTTAAGACTTGCACTTAATTAAACAAATAAAAAAGGATCGTAATGTTAATTAATAACATAAAGTATATCATTAAAGCTTTCTTTTAAAAAAAAAATTGAAAATGTGATTGAGATAAAATTATTTGAACGAAAAATATATGCATTAGTATACAATTTTGAGAGCAAATTCACTTTTAATTAATATCAAAAGCAAAAATCAAATCAAAATTAAAATATAAAAAAAAAAGTAAAGAAAAAAATGGATTGTCATGCATCCAAAACAAAGAAAAAATACTTAATTTTTTTTTCTCAAAATCACCCCACCAATTTATTTCATGTCTTAATTAACTTTTTAATAAATTTTTATATTTCATTTAAGGTGTTTTTAAAATTGATAAATCTCATATATGGGGAGAACTTTAATTTATTGTATATAATATAAATTAAAAATTAAAAAATATCAATGAATTTTTTATAATTGAAATTGTAAAAAATTGAAACTCTAATTGTTGTATTAATTTTAAACAACCATTAAGATATAAAATAAAACTAAATAAGTTAAAAAATATTTCTATCATTTGTAACTTATATATTTAAAAAAAAACTTATAATTATTGTATTTTTCTCTTTGATTGTTTAAATGTTTTCATGAAAAAATTTATAATTTAAAATATATTTTAAAATTTATACATTTAATAAAATAATTTATAGTTTAAAAATAAAAAATAATGACATTGCACTGCAATAAAAATAACTAACACGTTAAAAATGTCAATAAGTAAAATATGGAGAAATTAGAGTTTTTTTGTATTATTGTATTTATATCAAACGAATATTTTAAAATTTATATTCATTCAATCATTGAGAGTATTTAATAAATATAAATAATTTATATACCCATAACTTTAAAAAAATAAAAATAAAAAATATTTTTTAGTTTTTTTTATTTTATCTTATATATTTAAGTAATTTTTTATAAATATATATTTTTCAATAAAAATGTAGTAGTTATAATTAATTTAAAATAATAATTTATATTTATTTAATAAAAATTTTATTTACTAAATATATAAAAATATATATGTAAGATATAAATAAAAAAATAAATATTCTATTATCCATCTTCATTTTTATATTTAATAAAAATTTAAAATTATATATATTCTTATTTTATATACATAATATAATACCCATATTTATTCTTACTAGGATAAAAAATAAAAAATTTTATTTAATACGAGTAAAATTAACCTCCTTAAACATCGACAATGTAACTTTTATATATTTTAATAATAAATAATTTTTAATATTTTAATAATTATATTAATATTATTTTAAAATAAAAAATTTTAAAAAATAATTAAACAATAAAAAGTATTTTTTATTAAATCATTTAAATAATAATTTTTTTTATTTTTTTAAAATATTTTTAAAAATCAATTTCAACTAAATAATCGAAGCCTAATACATACATTTTAATACTTTAATATGAATTGTTTAATTAATAGATAAAACTAATTAGCTCCACATGTACGTTAGTGGGAAAGTGAAATTCTAGTAATAAAAAATAAATAAGGTGAAAGGAGCCCTAGAAGAAGAATAATAAAAAAATAAAAGGAAGGATATTCTGTTCTAGCGGTGTTGGATGTTCCCGCTTCAGTTGCGCGAAATCCCATACATTAGGACACTCTTGGCGGCTCTCTGCCAGTATTCAACTTCCCTGAAATTCCTCCAAACACGTTTCTTTTTCAAATTTTCATTTTCTCTCTCTCTCTCTTTTTTTTTTCCTCAAGAAAATGGGAGCTTACTGCAAGGAAAATCCCTCTGTCTCTCCGGCTTGTAACTTGTCTCCTTCTCACGATCTCAGGCTTTCGAAACACGTCCATGACAACGTCCACGGCAACATTTATCTCGATCCTGTATTTTATTTTCTCTATTTTTTTTGAAATTTTTAGCCTTTTTTTTTAATTTTTTATGTTTGATTTGGTAAAGTGACCTATATATGAGTAGAAAAAATTTACGATAAATGTTTAGTTTAATACTATTTAATTAGTTGGAGTTGTGATTTTCTTCACTGTTTTGATATGCTTAATCAAAATCTTAATGATTATTATTATTATTTTTTAATTTTTGATGTCTTCGTTGACTGGAGAGTCAAGACGATTATTCGACTTTTTTTTTTTTTTTTTCTGTTTGGTTGCAGCTCTCTTTGAAGTTTATTGACACAGAGCAATTTCAAAGGCAAGTTTACTTTTATTTCATTATAATTTTAGCTCATTTCATTTCAAATCTTATTTATTGATTTTTTTTCGAATTTTTTTTGTATTACAGGCTTCGCGACCTGAAACAACTTGGTAAACTTCACTTTTTATGTGAGAATGAATGTTTTTGAATTGCAATCGCATAAATTGTGTGGCTGAGATGGTTGATTTATTTAGTAAGCATATAATATATGTCAGTTTCACAACAAGTTAAAATAGGATATATTTGAATGGCTAGAATTTGTCTTTATTGCATGGTAAATTAGGGATTTATGATGTTGGAATGAAATATGCATGTAGTGTACAACTTCCATATGTGTATCTTTTTTTTTTTGGAATGATGAATTCATCACACGATTCAAAACTACATCCTAACATGATTCCCTTTTTTGGCCTTTCATACAGTTGACCCCAGAGTTATGGTGTACGGCTTAGTTTGTTGTTGTTATATGAATTCATCGCATGCTTCATAAAAGGATAAATCGGCAAATGCTGTTTTCTTTTTTCGTGGTAAAGAAATATTGATTTGCTATAAAGTTGATTTGAGAGTCACACTTTCCTCATTTGTATGTTGTTGCTTGGATGGAATGGATGAGTAGTCGGAAGTCTGCCCTATAGCAAAAGTATATGTTTGTACACTATTTGTTTTTTCTTAGTATGCAATATAGCATGTTAGTTCTTTATTAAAATGATGATATCAATAGTTTGTAAGGTAAAAGATTATTATTCTTTAGTTGTGTTGTTTTCTTGGCAGTTGCATTGTTTGCCATTAGTAAAATAAACTTCTGTTCACAGGATCTTGGTTTTTTCACTTGTGTTAAAATCAACATTAGCTCCATTTCATTGTTTTGGTTTTCATTTTACCAAATTTATCCAAGGTTTCAAATTTTTAGTTTGCTATAGTTCACTGAGTTCACATGGCAGGCTCTAAGTTGCTAATGGGACTAATTTTTAACTTGTTTCAGGAATGGCACACATGGTTTATCCAGGGGCTGTGCATTCCAGGTTTGAGCATTCTCTTGGGGTGTATTGGCTTGCTGGTGAAGCTATCCAAAAGCTCAAAACCTATCAGGTATAGAACTGTTTTTCACTTCTTCTGATCCTAATGTATTCTATGTAAATATCCTAACATACCGTTTGTGTAGGGTTTGGAGCTTGGTATTGATCAATTTGATGTTCAAACAGTGAAAATTGCAGGTAACTACCTGTGTTCCCAAAAAGTATCTTCATTTCAGTTCAATTGGTTCCTTATGCATTTTGTTGCGCCAACTGCAGGACTTCTACATGATGTAGGCCATGGACCTTTTAGCCACTTGTTTGAACGTGAATTTCTCCCCAAAGTTCTTAATGGCTTCAAATGGTATGTGTTAAATAATTTTATATGATGCATTTATTCCTTGCTTCTGTTTTTTTCTGTCCTAGTCTTAAGAAATTAGTCAACCACTGATGTCACATGTATCACTCCTATGTCTTTTGCATAAAATGACATTTTCAAAGTTAATCAGTATATCAGTTTTCTTATTTTCTTTGGTGATGTTAGGGGTTGAAGGTAATGTGTTTCTTTTAGTAATCTGTAAATATATGATTTTCATCCATTTTATGTCTTGTCTTAATTTCTAGGGCACATGAGCAAATGTCAGTGAAGCTGATTGATCATATTGTTGATGTACATCATATTGATGTTGAATCTGAGATGATTAAAAGAGTCAAGGTGAGCTGATCTTATCAGGAGTTTTTTCCTTACACAATCATCTTTTTTTCTTTTTTGGTTCTGTATGATTCTTTTTCTTTCCTATGGCATGTCTAGCATCCTCGCAACTATTATTATATGCAGAGCCCATTTGCATTGATGTTGCAAATATTCCCAAATAAACTTAGAATGTATGAGGAAATTAGATACTAATAAATTCTATGGTTTTTGGATTGTGAGCTATACTTTGACCATATGGTTTCTTTCTTTAATTCTCCTTTTACTAGCATATCTCAAATTTGCAGTTGAAAATGTGTAAACTGTGTTATGAGCAGAAGGTTAATATAAAGCTATATTTTCATGTCAGTGAGCGGAATTAGAAACTTTCCTGATTTCTATCTGTTTATTTTCTTCCTCTACATATCCTTAGAATTTCAGATTGCAACTTTAACAACTTAGATTTCATGTTGCCAGAATTGATGTTCATCCATATTCATTTATTTATTTTCCAGGAAATGATTCTAGCTAGCTCAGAGTGTGCACTACCAAAAGTAAGTGCTTATTTGTAAGATCCATTTTATCGGCATATGTTGATCACTAGGGCCTTTTTTGCTCTAGTATTAGGAATATTAATGTGTACTATTTTTGTGCTTATTTTGAAGAGTGCAAAGGAGAAGCAATTCTTATATGATATTGTCGCAAATGGTCGGAATGGAATTGATGTGGATAAGTAAGTGAAGTTCAATTATTTGTCCCTCAAATCTTCCTCCCAATTCAAGCTTAAAATAAAATACAATCATATAAAACTTGGAAATTCTATTTCTGCAGGTTTGATTACATTGTCCGCGACAGCCGAGCTTGTGGCCTGGGATGCAGTTTTGATTTCCACAGGTTCTTGCTAAATCCTCAAGGCATTTAGCTAATAGTTTCTGCTATCAATAGATAGATTAAAAAGCAAAAGAAAAAAAGGATTAAGGGATATCTTTTTGCTACACCACCTGCAGGTTGATGGAGACAATGCGAGTTTTGGGTGATGAAATCTGCTATCGTGCTAAAGACTGTTAGTATCATCTGTTTTACTCACTTGCAAAGTGCATATTTGATTTTCTTATTTTTATTTTACATCTATATTGGGTAATGGGTACTTTTGCTAGATCTTAGCATCCACAAGTTATTTGCTACTCGTGCTGATCTATATCGAACAGTCTACACCCACTCTAAAGTGAAGGTATTCACAGAATTAACTCTATAGGTTCTACATCATCTTGTTCAAACAAATCTCTTTTACAATGTTGATTTTTCATTTATATTTTCTGTTCATTAGTTATGTAGGCTTGCTTTGTATCTGAAGTAGCAAAGGTTTCATTTCATTTTTATTGCAGGCAATTGAGCTTATGCTAGTAGATGCACTGTTGAAAGCAAATAGTTATCTAGAAATTTCATCTGCCATTCAAGACCCTTCTGAGTACTGGAAGGTTGGAGAACATGCTTAGTATTCTTTTGAGTTAGTAATAATTTAGAGTTGAAATGTATAACATACTGTGTTTTTGGTTTTTTTATTCTTTGAATTCAGCTAGATGACACAATAATCAAAACTATTGAGACAGCACCAGATGAAGAACTCAAGGAATCTAGAGATTTGATTCTGCGCATTCACAGGAGAAATTTATATCAGGTTGAAAAGCTTCACTTACATTTACTTGTTCTTTGTGTTTTAACAATGATCAAATGCAAATAAGCATGCTATTTTGTTTATTATTTTTCTTTGGCTTTTCATTATATGAAAGATGAAGCTTATGATATAATGATTTATTTTTTGTGGCAGTTCTGTAATGAGTATTCAGTACCAAAAGACAAACTAGAACATTTCAAAAATGTCACTGCACAAGACATTGCTTGTTCTCAGGTCCTTCCGTGATATTCTATTGACATGTGCATGATCTTATGCATCTGTTCTTAGATAAAGGATTGAGTAGAGTCTCCAATATTGATACAAGGCATTTTTATTTTAACAGAAAAATGGTGGAGTAGTACTAAAAGAAGAAGATATTGCTGTTTGCAATGTCAAAATTGATTTGACTCGTGGAAGGCAAAATCCTCTTGAAAGGTACCATGAGGCCTTTATGCTCAATTTGAAGAGGCAAATATTTTGCTTGTTTTTATGGGTTTCATCTTTGACTTTAGTCTCATTTCTTTTCCTGTTCATTTTGTTTCACTTCTACCCTTGCAGCATCAACTTTTTCAAGGTAATGAAACTCATCCTGATTTTTAGTTTTCCTGTTTTTATTCATTGCTGGCTTAAAGTGTAAGGTACTCCTCACCTCATCCTTTTACTCAGTCTACGCACATGCCTAGAGTCAAATTTTCGACTTCACCTTCCTAACTGAAGAAGAAAACACTACACTGGATGGTTATTGACATTTGAAATTTTGATTTGTTTTATATTAATGTTGGATTTTTCTTATTTTGTCCATTAAAAAATGGGATAATCTTTATTTTATCTTAAAAAAATACCTGTATGGTATTGGTATCATATTAACTGTCAGGTGCAAGTTATAGTTTTCATAATAACTTGAGGGTTGGGGTAGCAGTAAACACCCAGGAGATATTATGGGTACGTACAATAAAAAAAAGTTCTGCCTATTCAATGGCTATGCAAACATGAAAAGTGGACGTACATTGGCTGCTTAAATGATAGGAAAGTCTGGATCCTGATACTGTTTAGGCATTTTAAGTCTTTTCCTTTGGATTTGCAAGTTTCTGATAGGATTAATTTCTTTCCAGGATTATGAGAGTGAGGAGAAGTTCCCCATACCAGATGATCGCATAAGTCACTTGCTGCCTACATCTTATCAGGATATGATAGTGAGGGTGTATTCCAAAAAACCTGAATTGGTCTGTGAATCCAAATGAAATTATTGTTTGCTTGTTATTTCTCTTTTCCACTATTCTGTTCACAATAAAGTCTCTCTTTTTATGTACTCATGAACAGGTGGAAGCTGTCTCAGAGGCATTTGAAAATTTTCAACTAAAAACCTATGGAATTAAAGCTCAAGTGCATGCTACGCCAGAGAAGAAGAAACGGCGGTTGTGAGGTTACATTGTGATGATTGTTTCTCCTTGTTAGTCCCATTCTATCCAAAAAATATATAGAGCATATTTTCATTTGCCACACAAAGTAAATGCAGTTCAAAAGTTATACACTAGATGGTTGTTAAGTAAATGATTTGGGCCATCTAGCTTTCCCTCAGCTGAAAGAATCATACTGATGTCAAATGGACCATTTTATATAGTTGATCATTTGTTAATTGAGATTTTGTATTAATTCTGATTTTGAGCGAACATTTGAACTGAACTTGTAATTGCTTTTGCTACCACGAAACATTTATGTTTCCAAGCTATCAACCTTGCTGCTCTCCTAATATGATGGGTTTATTTGATGTCCACAAGGTTTAAGGAGTATTCTCTCTCCACACTTTATTAATGAAGTTCTTACATTGTACCTTTAGCATTTGGCTTTATTTTTCGGTTGAGCATTTGGCTTGACAAATAAAAGCACAAAAACCAGTTTGCTGGTAATGTTCAAGACAGGTTGAAATGGCACTATCTGATAAATTTTAGTGAATGGCATATGAAAATGAAATGATCTAGTTGACTCAAGCAAGACAGGAAGTATCATCAGCTCATTAAGGAGAATCAATGAAAATAGTGAATTTAGCGGAGGGAGAGCTTGCTATGATGGTGCATTCAAGACCAGTTGGTTTCTTTCTTTTGCCGGGTAAGAGTATACTCAGCATACCATGTTGATTAGAAGCATCATTAACTGTTTACAGAATGGTGAATCTCATTTAAATCTACATTAATTTCTGCATGATTAGATGAATGCTTGGAGAATAGCTCTCGTGATTATTTGTAGCAGTGCTAATCAAGTTTTGACATGTTCATGTGTATTGCTTCTGTCGGTGGGAGCACTCTACTTTGCATATACTTATCCACAATTTAATATGAGAGCTGCCATCAAAGGAGCTTAACAAGAGAATATGGTAAGGTTTTTTAGTTGGTGCTACTACACTATTATTATCTTGTTTTCCTTGACTAAATGTTCAAGTTTTCTTGTCTTGGGCAAATTATTAGTATATATCCAGTAAAACAATCGTGGATTGTTTGACTATTGGGAAAATGATAGATCAAACAATTCGTATATTTATATTATATTTTTGACGTTTGTCAAACTTATATATGATATTCGCTAAAATTTTAAATTGTTATTTGTGTATTTTTTTCATATTGTTTTTATATTATGTAATTTTGTCCTATTTAAAATTACTAGATCTAGGAAAGGGTAAGGCTTTTGAGTAGGGATGATAATAAGTTAGGTTGGGACGGATTTTTGTTTGTTTTGAACCCAATCTGATTTTACATCCGTTAAATCTGAATCTGACTTGATTCAAATTTTTTTATTTTTTTAATATTTGAACTCAAATCCAATTTGATATTGTATAAATCATATTTGATTCGATTCGAAATTAATAAAATATTATTTTTAAAATATAAATATTTAAATATATAATTATATAAATAAAAAATTAATTTAAAAATTATTTTTATATAATATCGGGTCAGGTTGAGTTTGATTAAAATTTGAATCTGATTTGAATCAGATATTTTTTAGCGTTTCTCGACTTGATTTAAAATTTGATTAAAAAATAATAATAATCTTATAGGATCGGATCGGATAAAAATTCACTGGGAACGGGATGCTCAACCTACCTTTGAGCCTCTTTGACAGCCAAAATCACGGAGGTCTCTATTATTTCCCGGTTGCCTAGTGGAAATTGGTGAAACAATTGGGGCCCTCTCGTCTGGTCCCGTGACTCCCTTCTCTATTCTGATGCTAGTTTGCTTTGCATTAAGTCAACAAAGGCAGAACTTCACATGCTTGATGATGTTTGAGCAGCGCAATGAATACTGTTAAATTCATGGGAAAGATAATGGTTTAGGGGTCACTTTCCTTTCTTTCTCGGCTTATCTCTATTTGCCGTCCTCGCTGCTCCATAGTCAAGGGTCGAGGCCGACAGTTGGATATTAGGGGGCGTAAGCTATATCTATGATGAATTATTTAGCAAACGTAAGAAGTTGAATTTTGTTAGTCTCTAATGCACGAACTTCTGGAGTTCGAATATGATACATAATATGATTACATATTGTCCTAACCTAACAATCTATTATAACCTTTTTTATAACTAATAATTTCTAGTTTGATAATGTTACCTTTTTAATACGAAGAAAGCATAATAGAGGAAATGATTGCGGCCATGAGGGATTTGAATCCTAAAATTATTAGATATTATTTTTAAATTTAATTGTATGAATTAATGGGGAACATTTAGATTTAGTGTATAGGATGATGAATAAGATAGTATAATAATTATTTTATATTATGTTTGATTTGTATTTAATCAAAAGAAATATGATTATAAAAAGAATTATCATTCTTTTGGTATACGATGATTCAATTTTTTTAAAATATAAAAAATTATTTTTAATTTATGAGATTAAATTTATATGTTTTATTATATTTTTAAAAATTACATTAATAATTTAAATTGAATGAATTTCAAAAAAAAATAATTTTGATTAATAAATAAATTATTTTATCTTAATTTTTGCATACAAATATAAAATAGATTGATATTATTTAATTGAATTTTATTAATAATATTATTTTATTTTATCATAATCTAGTGTATTAAACATGATTTTAGAGTTTCATTTGATAATGATATTTAAATCTCTATTTAAGTATATCCAATAATTTATCCATCTATTTAGCGTATAACACAAATTATTGTCATATTCACGTTGACATGTTAATCATAGTATTTTTTTGGTTTTTTTGAACTTATATTTTTTTGTTAAAATTTTAAATTATATTATATTTATATTATTTTATCAATTTTATATTAAATTATTGTATTTAATTTAAAATTGCTAAATTTTTAGGTTTGAATTCAAGTTCAGTTAATAGTTAAATACTAGTACTTTATTTTTTTGGCTAGTTAAGCACTTTATTTAAAGATTGGAGGACGTGCACAAGTACCCCAATAATACCTCTTTAATTTAGTAAAATAAAGAGGCCAATCAAAGTCTTTTTTCAACCCTAAATAATACCTTCCTCATAGTCGCCCCTCCTTTCTACCCTTCATTTGTAGGTTACGTGTCCTTCTTTGATTTCTCTTTCTTTTGTTGTTTAAATTTAATGGTTTTATATAGATTCAACCATGGAACTGAACTTCCCATTATTGGAAAAAATTGGGTAAAACACTTGAACCACTGAAAGGGGTATTGTTCACTGTTTTCTTGTACCCATTTTGTAGCCGACAGCGGTTTGATTATTAATATAAATAATTAGTCCCGTGAAGTTTTTAATTATTGACTTGTTTAAAATCCAATGATGGTTGGACAGGTAAGCAGTAGTGCTGATGTGGAAGATTATGATTGGTTCTTTTTTATGCACACAAATTGATGAAGTCATGTATGAAGCGGTAAGTATTATCTTCTATGAAGTTATGAATATCATGGATTGGGCAAGCGTCCTCACATGCAAAGCTAGCCGACTAGTCTGGCATCTAACACTCTTTATTTTTCAGGGAAAACAAATAAATTTGAGGAAAAAAATCAAATTTTCTTTTAAAATGGTTATTTTTCCCATTTACAAATATAAATATCATGTTTTTGATTTTTTGTACTTTAGAGTTGAAATTTTTTTTATAATTAAGGCAGATTTAAGTTTTGGTAATTGAAATTGAAAATTAATGGACCATTTCTTTGAAAAGAAATAGGAATAACAAAAAGATAAAAATAAAAATGACACTAAAGTAAATATTTATTATTTTAAAAATATTTTATATTCGAATTTATTTAATATTTATAATATCCGAATTTATTTAAATATTCATTTAAGTTTAATGTCATTATTCAAATACGAATTCACTTAACTAAGAATTATTTGTTTAAATATATGAATTTATTAAAATATTCGTTTATTTAAATTTTTTGTTAGAATATAAAATAAACAAAAATTTAATAAGTTCACTCTTAAATAATAATAAATATAAGTAATTTTTGAAGGTCCGAAATATTTTATAAATATAAAATTTTATATATTTTACATATGTAAATGGTAATAAATTTTCATATAGATTCAAATATTTATTATTATTCATTAAAATTTAAATATATTTGGATATTAGATATTTACTAGATATTATTCGTATTTATTTTAAAGCTATCACAAATAATAAATTTTTTATTTGAATTCATTAATTATTTATTTATATATAACTATTAAAATTAGATATAAGCGAATTGAATAATGACGAATATCTCTGTTTATTTTATTATCTGTCATTCCTAACAAAAAATAAAAATTATTTTTATAACAATTAGAGATAAGATTTAATTATTTAACTGTCAATATTGTAGCTTATCCTTACATTTATTTATTTACATATCCAAAATATAAGAATAATTTGAAGCCAAAACTAGCATAGCGTGTGGTACACTCTTTTTTCCTCCTTTTTAAATGTTTTAAGATAGTAAGTAATTGAACTTTAATAATTGATCATTGAAATTTTTTGCACTTTGATAAGTTATGAATTACTATTATAAAAAAAAATTCTCTTATTATTATGTCATCATTAGACTAATAATTCGTAAAATATTTGTTCAAAAAATAACGACAAAATTATCAACTTAAAGTCTAGTAACTGTCAAGCTTATCCCTTCACCAAACAAGTTCTAGCTAAAAATGATTTACTCAGTTTTAAATCATTTATTTCTTCTGTTTGTTTATTATTTTTCAAAACCAAATTCAAACCGCAAATTTTAAATAGTGAAAACAAATATATTCTATCTACTATTAAGTCAAAAAAACATAAAATATTTTATTCAATAATAAATATTCTTTTTATCTTAAAATATTTGTCATGTATTAATTTTTATGAAATTAAAATTTTTTTAATTTTAATGTATTTAATATTAAATTTTTTTTATAAAATTAAAGTTTCATGATTTTTAATGTTAAAAAATAAAAAAATATATAAAAGAACTAGAGTTTTAGATATTAAAAAAAATAAGACATAATTTTGTGACATCTCAAAAAGTAAAGATGGATAAAGAAAATGAGATAAAAGGAGTGTACAATATTTATGTTTTTTTTATTATCAAACTTTATTTAATAATAAGTTATAAATTTGATAATTTTAAATATGATATGATGATATAATATAAAAAAAATATAAAAATGATATATTTAAAATTTTTAATAAAAATCTATATAAATGTAATAAAAACTAAAAGCTATATTATCATATTTGACTTTTTTACGCATTTTAATAACATAAATTTCATATTTAACGTGGTATGGATATCACATTTAATAACTTGTGATGTAAGACTTGAGAAATTTAATAATTTGTGATGTAAGATTTGAGAAAATTAAAACCGCTTAAAAGGAAGTATATGAACCAAAATCTAAAGTGTTAATGTCATTTTACACAAAGAAAAAAAAAAAAACTACTATAAACATATAAAATAAATAAATAAAAAGCTAAACAATTTACAACTTCCATTGTAATTGTTCAGGAGTATCCTGAGAAGTGAAGAAGTGGAGAGGCAGAGTACCCTCTTTGAAAAGGACAGGTTAGTTTCACTTACAAAACACAAAAAAAAAAGAAAAAAAAAAAGAAGGTACGTTTCACCGTGAATCCTATAAAAATATACTTAAAACAAGAGGAAGAGAAAAGGCAACGAGAGAACGGAGGAGGAGAAGAAAGAAGCAGAGAAACAACAAAATAGCAACAACAGCCAGCAGTAACACAAGAAAACCAAAAGTGGGTCATAACTACACACGTCGTCTTCAGGCAAAATCCATGTGCCCACATGGCTGTTTGTGAGCTTTGAAAGAAACAAATAGCCAAAACCAAAAGAAAAAGACCCAAACTTTTTTTTTCATATATATATATATATATGTATTATACTTTAGATCATCATTAAGTTCTAGTTTCTAGTTTAGATTTTGGATAGAAACCCATTATCAGAAATAGCTCACAGAAAAAAAATGTGAAGAAAAACTAAGAAAAAAAGCTTTCTAAGATTGGTCTTTTTCTTTTACTGTTTGTTCGTATTTGAGGAGTGACGTTGTGAATTTTAGTTGGGGTTGAGAAGATGAAGGAGAAAAGTGAGGGTGGTGGAGGAGGGTATGTAAGAGCAGATCAGATAGATCTGAAGAGCTTGGATGAGCAACTCCAAAGGCATCTTAGTAGAGCGTGGACGATGGAGAAGAACAAGAACAGAAAAGAGGAAGGAGAGGAAGTCGGCGGCGGAGGAGGAGGTGGAGAACAGCTAAGGCCAAGCAACAGTGCGAGAAGACAAGAGTGGGAGATTGATCCTTCTAAGCTTATCATTAAAAGTGTCATAGCTCGTGGCACTTTTGGTACTGTTCACCGTGGTATTTATGATGGCCAAGATGTTGCCGGTATTGATCCTTTTCCCCTCATTTTTCTGTTTAAGATTGTTTATGAGTACCCATTTGTTGTTGTAACACTGAACTTTTCTCACAATGACATTTTTCTTAAATTGCTGTTCACTTTCTTGGTGGTTATAATACTATAGATTTCACTCATTTTTTCTGTTTCTCTTTTGGTTTCTGTGAAAACCCACTTTGAGATGAACTTTCTATGCATGATAAAGTGTTACAGGGATATGCATTAGACGCTCAAAGTAAGTTATCACTTTTGGCCTTTTCGTTGAGTGGCTAATCAAAATTAAACAGTTAATTTCACAATAGGCTTGATTTGATTAGTGTTCTTCCATCATCGGCTGACCAAATTTAGAGTTTCTCAATGTGAATTGTACTATGATTTTAATCCTAGGGGCTGCCTGATGTTTACAGTTGTATAGTTACACTTTAAGGGTGCTTTATGGCTAATGTTTTAATATTTCTAAGTTCTTCAGCTACTGTTTTAATAATCTTATTACCCCTGTTCCATTTGTTGGCTGTTGAAAAAACGCAGGTGAAAGAAAATAAACTAGAACTTTGAATCCTCGATTTTAATAAGTTGATTCTAAGAATAACAACAATTCCAATGCATACACCTGATACTGGGATGAGTTTTTTCCTTCTTAATAGTAAGCAACAAGAAACATCAATCTTTACCATAATTTCTGTCTGCTTCCCCAGACTTTTGGGCTACCAAAGGGAAAATGATTTGCTTATGTAGCTAATAATTTCCTGTTATGTTAATCTGTTGTTTTCCACGGAGCAGTTTGTGATAAAAACTTGTGGATCTAACTTCTGGAAATCCGTGATTCACGAGATTTTTTGAGGTGGCGGTTAGTTGCACTGCTGCAGTGACTTAAATAATGTTATTCTTTTTCTAACCGTTCATGTGTCCTAATTTATTGCTGATATGCACTCATATCTCAACTTTTTTGGAGAGAAAAGCTAGAAAACTAAAAGAGCCTCATTGACATTGTGACTCACAAGTTCTGGCTAGCTATAAAGCTGCCAAATGGACCTTATCTCATCTACTAGAAAAATAGCACCCGAGTATTTCAGTAAGCTACATGGACTTAATTGCCTCATTAATCTAAGACTAGATTTGGGATGGATAGATAGCTCTTTGATTGATCATAGAGACAGTTTATTTGGTATTTCTTTCTTGATTTTCTGTTGCTTTTCTGTTAAATTATGTGTGAAAACTAGATAGAGATGTTGGACCTTTACTTTTTCGTTTTGTATCTATTTACTTTTTTTTTTTACTTATTTCTTCCATCATGCTTAGTTAAACTTCTTGAGTGGGGAGAAGAGGGCCACAGATCCCAGGCTGAACTAGCTTCACTTAGAGCAGCCTTTACACAGGAAGTTGCTGTGTGGCATAAGCTCGATCATCCTAATGTAACAAAGGTAATGTTTCTTATCTTGTATCACTACATTTTCCAGCTTTCTTCACTCTTTTCCACATACCTGCAATCAAATTAAAGTAGCCTAGTATAATATGCTGGAAGTTCGAGGACGGGATCATCATCCTTTCATCACTCATCTTGACCCCAAGCCCAAGACCTGAATGTTTAGACTTAGTGCATAAGGTTTTAGTTAGTTTATTTTATCTTGAGGGTTTAAGCAACACTGAGTTCTAACAAGTCCAGGAACCGTATTGCCATCAAATATGCTTCATGTATACTTATCACAATGTAAGATCTTATTATTTCTTTTATTTTACTCATTTAAGTATGTCAACTCTGTAATTAGGATGTTGACAACAGTGTGACCGTGAGGGTATATTGGATATGTGAGATCTGATGCTGACCAGAATAAATGGGCATTATTGGTCATTATGGGGTCGGAAACCAGGAATGCTTAAACAGGGTCCTCTCTGTTGTATCGGTTGGCTACTTATATTTGTTTTTAATCTGTGTGCTAAATTTCTCATGCAGTTTATAGGGGCGACAATGGGCTCATCAGAGCTGAACATACAGACAGAAAATGGTCATATTGGCATGCCAAGTAATGTTTGTTGTGTTGTTGTTGAATATTGTCCTGGGGGTGCTTTGAAATCGTACCTGATAAAGAATCGAAGAAGGAAGCTGGCCTTTAAAGTAGTTGTTCAACTGGCACTAGATCTTGCACGAGGGTCAAATTCCTGTGCCTCATCCATATTCTATTTGTTCCTTTAAATCTATAATATATGAATAATGCTCAAATTGTAAATTGTAATTTAAATTAGAGTTCCCCGATCATTTGTGTTGACATTGTTGCTTTCTATGCATTTTAGGTTGAGCTATCTTCACTCCAAGAAGATTGTCCATAGAGATGTCAAAACAGAAAACATGCTTCTGGACAAGACACGTACTGTGAAAATAGCTGATTTTGGGGTTGCTCGCCTTGAGGCTTCAAATCCTAATGACATGACTGGAGAGACTGGAACACTTGGTTACATGGCACCAGAGGTATACAACTTATCTGTTTTCTTTTGGTTTTGCAGTTTTTCTCTCCCATCCTCTTTCTTGTGAATGGCCTGTTTGGGATTATGGGATGCACAAGAATTTAAAAACATTTAGAACTTTGCTTATTTGAATTTATGCATTGAGGGGGTCCCATGATCAAACTTTTGAAGAATATGCATGCCGCTTTATGGGTTAATTCTTAGAGGTGATATGGTTGGACTGCACTCTTTCTGACGATCATATTTTATGTATCTGCTCTGCGTTGGCGGTGTATAGCATCCCTCGAAAAGAGATCAGATCTGTGACTTCTCTCTCTTTCCTGTATGTTCTTGGTGTTTTCCTACAAAATTATATTACAAAATGCCAGTTAGAAAGTCTGATCCTTTGAAGCCTGAGTTTGTACGCTAGAGCCACAATTTCTTTATATAGTAATGTTTTGATACCACTGTCTTATCTTTGTCCTGAAGGAACGTATATATCATACATGGCAGCATGTCAGTTAGTTGAGGCTCATACTTTTTGTTCCTAGAATTATCAGATGTAGGGTCTTAAGTCTGAATTACGGCAACTACTATCAAGATTCTTGGCTTGTTCCAGTAAGCATTTTAGCAGTTTTACTGGGAAGAAAGAAATGATTTAACTTTCTTTAAGGCGTTTGGGGTAGATTGTTGCTACTTCTATGTGCTCAAAACTTCCTGTTCACGTGGACAGTCTTTAATGATTCAGCTTTGGTTAAATGAGATTATATGTTGACTTCTTCCAGCATCAAATCATTTGTATCTAATGTATTATCTAACATTGATGAATTGAAATGCGACAGGTCCTCAACGGCAATCCCTACAATAGAAAGTGTGACGTGTATAGTTTTGGTATCTGCTTGTGGGAGATATACTGCTGTGACATGCCATATCCTGATCTCAGCTTCTCAGAAGTGACATCTGCCGTCGTGCGCCAGGTAAATGAATCAATCTCAGATGACAGTATCAGTCACTAAAAATATAAACTAAGATGATTCTATACCAATTGTACATTAAGTAGAGCCTTGTTAATACTCCATTGTACTTTTTCTCTACTCCTGGCATGCCAAATGATAGATAATAACATAAACTTTAAACTACAGAATCTCAGGCCAGAGATACCTCGTTGCTGTCCAAGTTCTCTTGCAAATGTAATGAAGCGATGTTGGGATGCCAACCCTGACAAACGGCCGGAGATGGATGAAGTGGTGTCCATGTTGGAGGCTATCGACACATCTAGGGGAGGAGGCATGATCCCACATGATCAGCCTCAGGGTTGTTTGTGTTTTCGAAGATATCGCGGACCTTGAGATTGTTACCCTTTGAATTAAAGATGCTTTCTGGGTTAGAGTCCAGTTTATTCATATTTAATTGAATCGGAAAGATGGCAATGTAAGAGCTTATAGTACGAATTGTGGAGTTTATTGACTAGGAAATGCTCCACAATATCAGCTATTTGGAATATGCATTTTGTAAAGCTTTTCTTTCTCTCCCTTTAGTTTCCTTCATTTACCGTATATCTGATCCACTGGCCAGTTATATAACAGATCGGCCACAACCTTTCATAGAAGCTTCAATATCCCATTAAGATGATGGATCCTTGGTTATCATTACAGTGACAAATTTTAATAAAAATTACATACGAGTTTGACAAAAATTAAAAATTTGTTATATATTTGACTCCACGGGAATTGTGAGATGAGAATTTTCGGGTTTTACATTGTTAAATACGAAATTGACAAACACAAATGCATAAATTATTAAGTATGGTTATCATCTATCTTGTACAATAAATGTTTTTCCAAATGAATTTAACAAATGCTTAAAGCTGATGACTGATTGATCGATATTGATCTGCAGCCCTAATTTGTAATGCCTTTTTAAGGAGGATCATCACATCTGGTGAGGTTATTATCTGTTTTGGCCATCAACAGTTGGATTAAGGACAGAATGAGATTTTCACAATTTCATATATAACAACTAAGCGTTTTCTGATATAAAAAAGAATAGATTCTCAGTTGAAATAATACAATAATTCTGACAGATTGAAGGATTACAGAATGAACTGAATCACATGAAACAACTTGTCCTATATGCAATTCTAAAAACACACAAAAAAACAAAAGGGTTCTAACCAGCTATCTTATAACTTGGATTGATTAGATTATCCAGGCCAGAAACCACTTGAATTGACTCTATAACATCACCAACCTTTAGGTCTGCCAAAAAATCCTGATTCTCAGTCACATAACCGAACACGGCGTACCGACCATCCAATATATTGGCATTACTAGGTGTTAGTTCACTTTCTTTCAATAGCCAGAATACCTGGCTTGAGGCAGAATTATTCTCAAACTCCTGTCAGATATAGAAAGGGAAAGTCAAAGAAAAGGAACGTAATACCAACAAGGGAAAGAAAAAAAAAAGAGTTGATAAGTTCTCACATCTCTTGCCATTGCCATGGTTCCAAAAGCATTGAAGGGAAGCTTTGTTTGAGCCTTGTATAGACCGAGCTCCTGTCCGAACACAAACAGCCAACTCTTCTCAATTTCGATTAAAGCATGGATTTGATATATCATTTATTTTGTTATCTCTAAACTTTAATATATGAGAAAAGAAAGCTTACCTCCAGTGTTGCTCCATAGACAGGTGCTTTCTCCCCATCAACCATGATTTCTAATGGTATTGTCCGGGTTTTCTCAGTACTAGGATCAATAAAGCCCTCTGCAGGACCTTCAGGATCTCCAGTTTGAACAACAAACCCATCCGCTGCAGCAAATCCAAGGAGATGTAACTAAAAGTCTGTGTATCCTTGAAAATGACATACAGTCTATATGATGTTGATAGCAACAATAGAATAGAGTTTGCAAAATACAATCACACTATCAGAATCCTGTTTGGATTTATTTACACTATTAGACATGAGACAAATAAGCACAGATAAGATATCTACCTCAAAAAGTAAAAATGTGTTAGAAAACTCATTATATTTTGTTAATGCTATGATAAATAAAAAACATAATAATAGAATGATCTTTGAAAAGCTTCCATTCCCAATGCAGTCAGTAATCTTTGAATATTTTCCACAATCCATAAAACTAGGAATAGAATACAGCAGTATCATAAGTTACCTCTCTGAATTTCCATGCCATCATAGAAGTGCCTTTGCACCAGGTCAATAAAATTCCCAGCAGTTACTGGGGCATTATACCCATCCAGAACTATATGGAACACACACTGCTCTAGATTAGGATTGTCCTTGACTTTGACCTTCATATCCACAGTTGCTCTCCCCTTCAAAAGAGGCATACTTCGATATTCTTCAGGTACTTCATATGGGAAGCCATCCACCATATCCTCTTCAACACTGCAGAAATCCAATGCCCCAGGAAGATCTCAGCTGCAGTCAATGACAAGGTATCTATGAGAATAATTTATTTTAAGAGGCTTAGTTTTTAAGTCCTTCTCAACTTTTATGATGAAAGTACGACACAGTTTTTAAGGCATGATGAGCAGCCCACCGCACCTCGGAAAAACCTCTATGTAAATTTTGTTAGTTTAATCTTTTTAGCTGACTTGGGCCTTGCTTGGTGCCAACAGTTGTGGCATGGCTGATATATTCTTGTTTGTCATAGTGACTACACATGTTTGCAGTTGCAGACCCAAACCCATTTTGGTGCACTTCTTATACCACAGACACAAGCAGAGTCATTAAATTTGCTTCACCTTGAGCAAATGATACAAACTTGACCACTATATGACAGGTCAAACACAGAGCATTTCGGGCAAACTAAGTATTTTGGTGTAGGTTAAACAATACTACCATTAAATTTAGAGCATATTTTCCAACAAATTAAAAGCATTTTACGCAACCTTGAGGAACTGCACTTAGCAACATTGAGGGACAAATAGGAATCAAGGCTAACTTCACATATCCACAACTTAGAAAATCTACCATATACAAGGATCATTTATGTTGATTTTGAAAAGCCACTGGAAATTAAAGCATTATATATTTTTTAATACCTAGTCCTTTTTCGAGGGTGTATAAACTAAGCAACAAAATGCTAATCTTCAGCATTATGTTTTAAACGTTTTACTGAGATACTCACTCTCCAACGTATTGAAGCAGCTCCTTCTGTTTAGGTGCCACTGCATCTCTATTCCTATCCTCCACAATCTGTTGTAGTTCCTTCATTCCAACTTCCAGCTTGTCAAGCAATTCCACTCCATGGTCCTTCTTTGCTTCAGCTAATCCTGAGATAATTAAAGTTTTCCCTTGCTTGAGGAATCGAGATGCTTGCTTCACATTCTACATTTTATACAAAGACAAGGCCTTGGTTATCATGAATGCAATCACTAAGCCTATCACCAGAAGCATATACAAATATCAGATTTTCAGTTCATTTAAAGCCAGGGAGTCTTACTCTCTCAACAGAATCTAGTGCCTTGACACCAGCAATCTTTAGACTCTCCGATATATCTTCAAGAGGTTTTTGTACTTCTCTTATAGCTTTATTGTTAATTGGCAGTGCATATCTCAACAATGCTCCAGGGTCTTTTATTGGAGGCCCAGAGATTAAAACAGACAAATCAGGCAATGCAGGACCGGCTGCATAAGCATTAGGGGACCAATCCAGTGATGGCATTCCAGTTATCAACCCAGCCGCCAAAACAATGGAGATTGCACATTCCTTCAGGGAAAATGACCTCCCTTTCTGCTCAAAAACCAATCATTATAACACATCAATGGTATCAAAAACCAATCTTTACCCAGAAAAGGAAAAAGAATCTAACTCCAGCACTCCCATATAAAATATATATCTCCTATTATTCAAAGCAATAACATTCACCAACCAAATTATTTACTCAAATTCATGGAGGAAAAAAATGCTTCCTTTTCCCTGATGAATCAAATCCATCAGAACTCAAAAAGCAAGAAAAAACATTAAATAACAAACAATTAAAAAAACCCAACCTGCCCATCTTGAAGCTGACAGTGAACATGCTTCTGGGAACTACATTTGGGCAGTAACTGCCTATTCCACCAAGAGCTACTCTTCTGAGTCCTTAGAAAGCTTGAACCTTTGGTGGGTATTCTTGGATTGGTCCATTTAGGGGCAGCTAAAGAAGAGTAACAGTTGCAACAGATAATAGCTGACATATTAAGAGATGAAAAATGACAACTACTAATAATATCAAAGGTTTTTCATGAATAAAAATGGGCAATGAAATTTTTGATCAAAACTTGAGTCTTTTTTGAGATGGAGAAAAGATAAGGTTGTTGGGTTCAGACCAGAAACATAAATAAAATGTTCCTCATGCTCTGGATAAGATTTCCATTTTTAGATTTTTTATCTCTTTCTCTGTCTCTCATTTTTTAGTTTTATTTTTTTTCTTTGTGCATTGTGCTTCCGGCTTATTTTGGCATGGGGGATTTGATCCACCATTGTTATTGGGCTTGTAGCCCATCACACTTCATGACTTATATAATGTGAGAATGTGAAATCGCATTCCTTTCTCTACCTTTTGGCTTTGGTTAAGGTATCTGTTCTTATAATTAATGTTTAATTATTAGCTATATTTGGGAAGATTTGCTATATATATAATTAATTTTGACAAATAAAGCAGTGATGATGACTTAAATCAAGTCCAAATTTGGAGCAATATATGTTAGATATGGCTCTTAATTATTTAAATTCCAAAATTATTGAATACGATATCAGATAAGTGATAAAAAAACTATGTTACATGGATTCTGGATAAAATGTCGGATATGAACATTTCATACTCTTAATAAATTTTTACATTGATTTTGAAAATTAAAATATCATACTTGTATGAATAATAAAAGATAATATATTTGTGACACATTGTCTACTTTTATTCAAAAATTTCATAATTTTATATTTTATGTTATTATCTGATGTATTTGTTGTTTAAATCATTGTCTTATATATCTTCAAGATGTCAAGGATTTTGTGTAACCAACACATTATGGAATTGAAAGTTGCTAGACATATTAATAATCATCTGTTGTTCCCATTCATTTTTGCATGGTTTTTTTGAAAGGTTGAACATTTCCAAAAGTGTGGGCTTATTCAACAACTTGTAGTCCTACTCTCCTCTTTCATTCACTTTAGCCTAGCCCACTTTACATTCCATCAACTGGTTTCTTTCCTTCTTTGGACATGACCAAGGCCCAAATTTTTTTTTTTTTATAAATATTATTAAATAATTAAGAATAAAATACATGCAATATTTATTATTAAATAAAAAAAAAGCTAATGGTTGATTATACCCACATATATGATATAGTGGATGGTCCTAGATGAGAGAAGAAATAAACAAAATTGACTAGTTTTTTAGACAAAGACATAAGGGAATAGCACTACCTTATGCTCCCACTTTTGTCATCACCAATATCTTTTATTAGCCTTACATATTGAAACACACATTCTCTGAAATATTTAAATAAATATTGTTGTAGTTCGATTTTTAATCGTAATTTTTTTTAATTTTAATTTATTTTTAATATAAAAAAATATTTTTCAAAAATTTTGAACGAAAAAATTTAGTTATAAAAATTTCGTCCAAATTTTAAAATCTTTGTTCAAGGATCAAATCAAGTTGGGTCGAATAGGACAAGTCTAATCCCTACTTTATATATAAAGCTAAATAAAAGTAAATAAAATCTTCAAAAATTAAAAAAAAAAAACCCATTTTTTTAGTAAAAAAGATACCATGATTTTAGTCCTTTTGCCTTAGTTGTGAAGGAATTAAATAACAAATTTTGGTATATATGTTTTACAATGAAGAAAAAATTATCCCAAATTAACTAAACCATGATCACAAATGTGCTTGATTCTTATACACTTGAGAACTAGTTCAAGAAATTTCAAGATTGTAATTATCATTAATTTTTCTATATATATTGATTAATGTAAACTTTCTAATATTGAACCATAAAAACTTCAATTATGGGTGTCAAATGTGCTTTATTAATAATTAAAATAGGGTTAATTTATATTAATTAAGATAAAAACTAAGGTTGAGGTAATTGACTAGTGGGGAATATTTTGCAAGAAAATTAAAAAAAAAAAAAAAGAAAGAAAGAAAATATTCTAAGACAAATGCATAGGAACTATTGGTTGGTGTTTAAGTGCAATGTAAAGAGAGTAAAGTGATCATATGTGTTCTTGATTCCTTAATTGAGTAAGAAATTGTGCTTAGTATTGTGTATGTGAGAATCAAAAAGCTTGAATAAAGGTTGGAGATTGCTACAAATCTTGCCTAAAAAAGATTCTTTGAGCATTGTTATCTTTTGGGGAGAAAATGTGCATTTTATCTTTGAAATCACTTTATTTTTTAAATAATAAAATTTTTTTTTTGTATTTTTATTTTTTAATGTGGTAATTATGGATATTTTTATATTAGTAGCAATTGGGAGACAACTGGCTAACACATGAGAAATGACTATATATTTATTTTATTTATTTTATTATTGAATCAAGGTTTAAATTATTTCTAAATGTCACATAGATCTTCAATTTCCTTGGATCATATGCAAAAAGGATTATGAAATAGGAAAAATAATTGCCTCCCCCTACTATTATAAGCTAATGTCCATTAATCTTACACTTTGATGAAGTCAAAGCTTTTTTCTACCTAAATTTTCACATGAAGGGAATCTTAGCAAATTGATCAATAGATAATTTTATTTTTTTTTAAATTAGTCCTTGCCATTAAAATTTTTAATTATTTTAATTAAGGACTAGTGACATATGACTTCAATTTCAAGTATATGTAGAATAAGATAAGCAAAAAAACAAAAAAAAAAAGGTATTATTTTCTTTTATTTAGCCAACAAAAACAATTTATGTCCTTTTTCATTTGCTAACTAGTTGACCAAAATTTTAATAATAATATTCTTAAAAATGGGTTTTTTATTAACTTAAAATATTTGTTTTTGTGTTTTTTTTTCTTTTTTTTTTCTTCTCAAATGCTTTGATTCTCTGGTTCCCTTTGCCATGGTTCTCATCCCCCCCTGACCAATTATCCCCTAGTTTTGGCAGTATTTTTCACATTTTTTTACTAATTTTTAGATCCTTTGATTTTCCATAAATCAATCTATTAATCGAGATATATAATAATAATAATAAACAAAGTAAAATATGTAAACATTTATTTATTTTTTATTTATTTATGAATTTTTTTTAATTTAAACTTTGATGCTGGCCATAAAATTAAACAACTCCTATTTATTTCTCTTTGATAAAATGTATATTGATATACTTATAAAAATAAAATTTAAGGGGTGAAAAGTAATTTACCCTTTTCAAAGTCTATTCCAAAAATTATTGTACATTGCAATTAATTAAATAAAAAATTGATTTTTTTTTTTTTTACAAATGAAATTAGAACAAAATATCTAAAAAAAATTATAAAAATTTAAATTTAAATTTTAAATCTATTAATTATTATTTTTTAAATAATTATATAATAAGATCCGAGTTCAATTAATGGATTCTTTATATAATTAAATTTGATCAAGTGTTAGTGGATGTGTGCACTAAGCAGCTAATTCCATCTAATCACATTCAAGGAAAGTGTAGACACATGCTTTAGCATTATCTCAATGTTTTTGCTTGTGTTGTGTTTGCATTTGCAAATTGATAGGTCAATTAATTTTATGTGTTGTACTTGAATAATAATATTGTTTATATTATATAGTTTTTCTATATATCAAATACATCACAATCATATGAAAAAAAAATTATAAATCTAGCCGATAGAGATTAATGTAAGTGATTAAGATTTAGGGTTTGGATAAAAAATACTCGGATTTGAATTTTCACGATCTTTTATTGGTAGATAATTTGTAAATTTGAAAATTTTCAAAAGATATATAAATCCCTTTATAGATCAATGACTTACTTTGATCTTGAAAATGAAATAATCTTTGCTCATAAACTTATTTTTTACAAAAGAAATTGTAAATTTAAAGGTTGTACACATCAACAAGTGATTAATTCAATCAGTTAAGACTCATCTTTCTCGACAAAGAGGTCTTGCATTTAAGTTTTATCGATGATCATTTGTTGAAGTCATCTCGAATGCATGACCTACAGTAATTTATTTTAAGTTATCAGATACGACACATCTTACTCTGACTTAAAAAATTGAACAACCTTAAAAAAAAAAAAAAACCATACACCTTTAGTTAATTTTTTCTTAAACCATATAAAAAAGTAAATGTCAAAAAAGTTCTAGTCTATAATCTCTCTTTAATTTCTCATCTTTTGGGGAAAAATATTTTAGTTTCAACTCTCATTTCTGTCCACATTTTTTATTCTTAAAGTAAAGATCATGTGTCAATCAGCTGAATCGAAAGTTCAAGCATAAAAGGTTTTTTTTTTTTTTTTTAGAAATTTTTTAATTGAAGAGAGAAAGAGAATTTTATATGAAATTAAAGATCTTAAAGTAAAAGAAACTTTGAGCTCAATATATATGCCTTTTTAAGTGCTTAGCACCATGGTAGCCAAAATTTGTGTACGAAAATGCATCACAATAACAAGGCAATGAGCATCCATCAGACTCTCTTGATCAACAAGGCCATCATGATTTAGCCATCCATTTTACAAGTTTCAAGTTCCACCGTGTGATTAGGAGGCATCTTATTATTTATTTCATTCACAAACGAAATCAAATAATAATTAAAAGGAGTCAAACAATAAATTGAATGCAAAAAAAAAAACGTATATTAATTTTGATAAACTTAATTATTAACTTAAAATGATATAAATTTTTTTTAAAAAGATAATGATCTTTGTGTCACAAGTAGAAACTCAAGTTTCAGATTTACACGGCTCCAAAACATGAAAATAGTTTCTTTTTTTTATTTTAGATCAGTTTAATTGTCATGATTTATATCAATTTATGAAGTATTATCTATTTCGATTCATTTGATCTCGTGATTTTATCTCACAAAAAATATCTTATAAAAAATTACGTGATCTATTTTATCTCGTAATCAACTTTAATATATAACTTATATGAAATTTATGATTTTTTTTTAAGATCGTGACATCTACTCGCTCTCATGACTCTGATTTTGATTTCATTCCATTTACTTTACCTTTTTTTCCTTTTGTTTTTCTTAGGAAATTAAAGATATTAACATTCTTATAATTTATTTTATTAACTTGTAAGATAACTATAACGCATATAACACAATAATTAATATAATCATTCACATTTGTAAAGCGTTTTTTTTTTTTTAATTTTTTAAAAAATTTTCAATCCAACAAATAAAAGCAAAAAACTATAAAATTGTTTAATTTATTGTTAATAGAGTAAGAACAGAGAGCATCACAGCCGTTTATGACAGTTCCACAAGATTGAGTCAACCAGATCCGACAGTCCCCGACAGCAAAGCATGGCCCATATTAAACAGTCTGGCACAAACTACTATGCCCCCAATATCACATCACCACCGTCTAAAAAAATTTCAAATCAAACGGTAAAAATCTATCCAACACCAACTCCAACCCCGGCGCAAATTAGTGAAATCCACTCCTATCCCCCACTACCGAGGCCAACAAGTAACACCTCAAATGACTAAACAACCTTGCTTTTGAAATGGAAAACATAATTTTCTAAGCGTATTTTCGTCCTTGAATTTGCCAACGTCACTATAAATATCCTCAGCCTTCTCTGGACTAATCTTTAGCTGCAAAAAAGCACATAGTAGCAACACTAAGGGCGACAAAAAAATTCCTCCTCTTTTTCTTCCTCTTTTCGCCGCTAAAACCTCTTCCCAACCAAAACAACATCAGAAAACTAGCTTGAGAGCCAGAAAAATCGTGGCTACTAGATTTTTTCGTTTACATAAGCTTTTTCTTTTCCAGACGATTGTCATTAAGATAGCAATAACACAAGTGGTGTGATGGGATTTTGTATTTGTCCCTTGCAGACACCAGCAAGGTTGCTGTGGACTACTAGTTTCTTTCGCCATAAGCTTATGATCTTCTAACGTATACAAATTAAACACAGAAATTTTCTGTGTAAAAATCTTACTTGTTTCTTAAGTTACACAAATTTTTGCCTTTTACTGACGAAAATCGTCGCCGGAAACTCTAGTCACAAATTTTACACATACAGGTACAGATATAGTGTGAGAAAGAGAACATATAAAGATGGAAGCTGGCCGTCTTTTCTTCAATCCCTCCGCATGCCACGGCAACATGTTGTTCCTCGGGGATAATGAACCCATTTTTCGAGGTGATAATTTCTTTTAGTGGTTTAATTACGTTTTTATTACAAGATTTTTTTTTTCTTGTTCTTATTAAACTTGCGACATTTAAAGGGGCAAGAACAATGACTAGCATGGAGGAAATCTCAAGAAGGCGAACCTTCTTCAGCTCGCCGGAGGACTTGTACGATGAGGAGTACTACGACGAGCAGTTGCCGGAGAAAAAGCGGCGCCTCACACTGGAGCAGGTCAGTGAATGATAATCCTTGTAGTCATTTTACATGCTTATTGGAAATGATATGAATATGAACATATTCTACCACCTTTTGGAGATGATATGAATATGAACATATTCTACCACCTTTTGAACAATATTCACCATATCAGAATCAAATTCTCTTTTATATTTGATATTAATTTGAGATTATAGATAATCAAATAAACCCAAAGGAAAAAACCTTGTATGATTTGTGAAAAAACTCCTTGTGTCAAGATATTTATGGAATTTAGATTAGAAAACATAGGATTTTGATGAGAATGATTTTTTTTGTTTAATTTTATGCGAAGGTACATCTGCTAGAGAAGAGCTTTGAGGAGGAGAACAAGCTGGAGCCAGAGCGAAAGAGCCAGTTGGCTAAGAAGTTAGGGCTACAGCCAAGGCAGGTGGCTGTCTGGTTCCAGAACCGCCGTGCTAGGTGGAAGACAAAGCAGCTTGAAATAAAATATGATCTCCTTAAAGCTTCTTATGATTCCCTTCAATCAAATTATGACTCTATTGTCAAGGAGAATGAGAAGCTAAAATCTGAGGTAATTGAATCGATTTTATCTTTCATTTTTCCACAACCCCAGTAAGTAATATCCACTATATCAAATTTATGTTACATTTATACATCTTTTATTGTTTGCCGTCTGTAGGTGGCTTCCTTGACTGAAAAATTGCAAGCCGAAGATGTGGCAACAGGACCATTAATGACAGGTCCAATGGCTGAACCCCTCGCAGCTGAGATGGTTTCTTCCATCCAATTTTTTCTGAAGGTTGAGGACCGCCAGAGTACCGGCAGTGCTGGGAGTGCGGTGGTAGATGAGGATGCTCCACACCTTGTGGACAGCGGTGATTCATACTTTCCAAGTGAGGAATACCCCGGATGTGTTGGCCCTGTCAATGGGGTTCAATCGGAAGAGGACGACGGCAGTGATGATGGCCGGAGTTACTTCTCCAATGTGTTCACAGCCACTGAGCAGCAGCAGCAGCATGAAGAGCCATTAGGATGGTGGGTCTGGCCCTAAATTATCCTGTTAATATCTGTACTGGTTTATAGTATATCATGCTTTTAAGACTAAGACATGTCCTAGGCCCTGTAATATGAGGTGCAGTACATGAATAAAATTTTGTCTTGTAATAACAATTTGTTCAGACAATCTCCCCTCCTTTTTGAGCTTATAGCACTCCTCCATCTAACGCAAGATTGAGAAAAGAACGAAAATTATTTGCAAGCTTATATAGTTATGTCCCGACACCTAATATTTTTAAACATCCACGCGATAACACAATTCCTAATAATTTTTAAATGCCACACTCGAAGAAACTTTTCGTATTTGATGTATCAATATTAATTATAATATGATAATTTTTATATTTATATATGAATACATGAATTATTAAATTTCCAAATCTATTTGACAGTACAAAGTAACTTGCCAAGAATCCAAGCTGGTCATTAAGCAATCTTGCGTCTTTCTATACTAGGTGATAAGCCCACTTTTCTCAAATGAAAAGTAAAGAGGACGAGTGTCAATACATGACCAGGGCAGAAGAACTGAAATCAATAATAGGACAGAAAGTTGCATCCAAACATTTGAATCAAAATCAATGGTTGATGCATGATCCCTTGTTCCAACAGCAAAGATCGAATTCCCTTCCCCTAATCAAAATTAATGATAATAACCCATTCTTCAATCTAATTGATCCAGAATCCATTTTTAATGCAACTATTTAAGCACTACTTAGCTCATTGCCAGTACCCAACACTGGCCTACAAAAGCTGTGACACGACATCGAAGGGTGACTATTTAAGCAAGAACTACATATTTGACAGTGAACTGCAACAGAAGAACAGATATCAAAACATGAAGATCAAAAACCAAAGTGGGCTCCAAATGTCCACTCAATGAAGTCAGTTCATGTGAAGCGGCACAACCCCACCTTAGGAGCCACTTGCATACAAGCTTTTATTAGAATCTGTTCTTTCCCACTTCCAACTCTCTATTCCTTCTTGTTGTTTCCCTCTTTCATTCTCACCCCATAGCATATATGCACTTTGACTATATTCCCAATTTTGTAGCTTCAGAGTTCAATTAATAAAACATCATCAACCATAATAACTCAATCCTATAGTGGGGTTTTTTCTCACTATTTATTTTCATTTTCCTAGAGTTGCTAGAATTTTGAGGTGAGCATGTAATGGCCACAGTAGTTGCTGCTACAAAATCAATAGCAAATCTATAGATATGACCGATATAATTAGAATCAGAAATCATAGCAAAGTAGACAATCCTGGCATCCTAGCAAATCAAATACCAAAAAGTCAGAGAAGGGCAAAGGGGGGATCACATTCTATATTGCTTAAGTAATATAGAGACTATAGACCTGGAATGACTATAATATCAACTTATCAATCTCACCATCAGATCAAGGGGATATTTATTCACGCACATTATTAACCCATAAAATTAGGGTTTGATGCCCAAATCAAACCATACAAGAACCAGTAGTTCTGCAGTTTTTGTCATCAATAATAACATAACCAAACACCCCACCTAAATGCTTCCTTCTTATTTTTTCTTTTCAAAAAAATACGTGAAAACAGAAGGAGCTAAGAGGAAAGCAAAAGGAAGATGATAAGTAAGCAAAATAATTAATAGGGGAAATTACATTTCCATCGAAGTTAGAAGATTCTAAACAGCTAAATTATTTGAACCAAAAGAAGCATAGTTGAACAAGAAATTACCTGCCTCTACATGCCAAGGAAAGCTATTGGCATTTTCCTACAAGCACTGAACCCCATGATCCACCAATAGTCCTAGATAGAAGAAGCTGTATGAGAGCAACTTGCATTCCAAACAGAGCAACCCTTGTTTTGCGTTGGTCAGCAGTCAGATAAGGCATTTAGAAGGTAAGAGATGAAGATTTGGTGTTATTCAAATAGCACATCAGACATCAGCCAGCACTTGAGTAATCTTTATAAAGCTAAGAAAAAACTGAACATAGAAAGAGAAGGAAAAAAGCATGGATTTTGATCCTTCGTGGGAACTAGCACATAAGTGATCACCAGATGAAAAATAAAAGAATAGAGAGAGAGGGACAGAAACAAAGAGAGATGTATAAAGAATCAAATATTGCCTACACCTGATCAACTTCAACCCTTATCCGTTTTTTTCTTCTCTTACATTAATTCATATTTTATATGTATATAAATCTTGCTCTCTGCGACAAATTGAACTAATGCTTCCCACGCAAGTCATCAAAAAGATGCAGCAGAAATCAGTCCAAAATTGGATGCATTCTCAGTTATCAATTGGTCCTCGTGCTTCCAACACCATAGGTGTTTCTATGAATTCTGGTTCTAGATCAAAGCATCCACGTTAGCATGTTAGCCTTGTCAATATGTACACGAGGCAAAGACAGCAGAACTCTAGGTCCAAACAGTCAGGTCAATACTGAACCAGTAAAGCAAACATTTTGGTTCTGATGCTAGGACCCTCTGATTTTCTTGTGACATTCCTGCCACCAGCTTCCTCACCACAGGGATCAAGTTCAATTGAAATAAGATCTTGTCAGATTTGAAAATCCTAGTTCACAAATATCAACCTTCTGGTTCCTTCCTTTTCTTGCTAGTCTTCCTGCTTACCTTGCACTTCTCTGGTAGATCCAAGCTGGGGAGCGGCTTTGGGTCTGGCATGCTGCTGGGCTTCAAATTGTCAATCGAATTAAACTCAAATGATTTTTCATAAACAATGGCTGCATCAAGGGAGTATATACGTAGGGCAAGAGAAGACATAGTGGAAACTTTCGCAGCAGCAGATAGCGATGACCAATACCACCACTCATTCCTCAAGTACTCAGTCTTAATCATGTCCTCCAGTACAATTGTTGCTTGGACCATCTGAAAAGGCAAGAGGATGTTATCTCCAATCCCACCAAATCCATGAAGTTTAGAAATAAAACAGAATTTCAAAGCAGAAACATTAACTTCTATATGATGTAGGACAAGTATCTCAATACTCAAATTAAGGAAAATCTCAATAATAATTCATCAAAAGTCTACCTCCAAACAAAACAAAACAAAACCTAAATATATGTATAAGCTTCATAACCCTGCCTTCAAGCCCATGGGAAAAATAAAGCCCACCTACTAACAAAAAAAACCAAACAAACAAGTCCAGTAACAAATTAAATCCTAAGTCCTAAATTTACATCTAGAAGAAACATTCTTCCAAAACTTGGATGACTGTTCTCCATTATTATATCTGTTCTCAAAGCAAGTTTTAGTCCGAAAGGAACTAGTAATTCAGTTCATGCATGCATGAAGCTAATGGAACATGAATAAATTAACCAGAAACAGCCCAGTGAAAAGGTCAGTTCAGAGAAAACTAAAATTACATCAGATAAAAGTTAATGACACAACCTGCTATCAACAAACCCAAGGAAAGAAAATCAATACTCCTAAAGACTTAGGGAAATATCCAACCCAATACGAGATGGTTCATAAAGAACATGAAAGCATTAGTTAGCACTACAAGTTTAAGAAATGTAAAATGTGGTCAATGACAAAATGATGGTAACAATTTACAAATGTACTAACTACTATTAGGAAAGCCAAAAGGTATCAAGATCAACCTCATATATGGTTTCTGCAGATTTGACAAATGAACGCCAGGCCAATCTCCTTTCCTTGCAAGCCTTTGATGGTCTCAAAGCTTCTTCAGAGAGTGCAGCATCCATATCGAGTAAATTAATCTTCAGTTGCCGCGAAATCTGTGAAACCCTACCAACTAAGGGCCTTAACGAAGATTGGGGGACTACACAGCAGCGACTAATACCCAGTGCAGGAGAATACTTATCAGAAGAGGATAATCTATCCCTTTGTTCCAAACATCTCAAAGCTGGTCTTTTGGTCTTTTGCACTTCAATCTCATTTGCAACAGATCTTCTAAAATAATTATCAGATAAGCCTTCATTGATTCCATTAGCCACATTCCTGTTTCCTTGTGATGACAAGCTCTGCCTCTCAGTAGCCTTCAACTCATCCACTAAATTCCCTACCTTGTGAGGAGGAGCAATTAATGTAGAGTCACTAACAAAATGAGTAACAGATGAGACAAACGACGGAACCCCATTTGAACCAATAAGACCTATTTCCTGCACTAATTCTTCATTAGAATCTCTTGTCACAAATTTGGAACAGATCTCTTCAAAGTCATAAGGACAAACAATCCCTTCATTTTGAAATTTGATCAACCTGGAGCTCAACTCAGAATGCCCACTTTTAGAAGTTTCAACAACCTCCATGTCAACAGTACAATCTACCAGATTAATATCAAATTTCATATTCCCCTTTCCTTTTAAAGGATCACGAACTGACTCACCCTTCTCATTAGCTGGTGGACCCAGATTGCACCTACCATCATTATGATCCTTGAATTCAATGTCACTAAAAAATGTTCTGTGGCAAGAGATGCAATGATTTCTGGAGGGCCAAGCAGGCTCTAAGCATTTACACCTGTACATTTTATCTTCAATAATCACCTTTGCCTTTTTTCCTCGCTTCTTCAAGGAGTCGGTTATTTCTGACTCAATGCAGGGACCATACTTCTTCTCCAGTAACATTGCTGCCTTAGTAATAAGAAAACTAGAAAAAGAAGCTTTATCAAAACCATTGGACATTGAAAAAGCAGTTTGGCACTCATCCTGAACTAGTTTTTCCATTTTTTGATAATCCTGGAATTTTAGCTTCTGCCAAATAGCCTCTTTCAGCTCTTTTTCTTTTGGGTCATTATCATTCAACCAATCAATGAGTCCTTCAATTTCTGCATCTGATTGATATGCAACCCATGGTGAACCCACTGAAATAGCGTCTTTGGCATCATACAGATATGGACAGGAAGCCTTTGATCCCTCTGCCTTAGTACCATTATCTGTGCTCACAGAAGTATAATTCCAGTTAACCGGAGTGTCATGCAGTCGATCCTCATAGCCCAGAAAATTTCTTCTCCTTTGCAACACCAAACTTCCATCAACAATAACCTGAGGGTACCCACCTGGCATGGCTGAAATCCAGTACAGTCGGCCAGAAGAATCACTTCCCAAAAACTCCTTCCGCACAGATAGCTTCAAAAGCTGTGATTCTAAGCTGATAATTAAGTCCTGCAGTTGTTGAATTTCACTCTTGATGGTGTTCGACTCAAGGTGGTAAGATGGTGATTCGTTCTCAGCAACAGAAGGCACTTGCTTAACCGCATTAAGATTGGTCATATCAGATGGAAGACATTGTCCATTACAATCTGAAGGAGAATGTGGAGAAGCCATATCCATTCTCTTAGACTCTTCCAACTTCAACTGGAACTCTGTTTCTCTGCTTGAGTTATCAATTTCTTGGGGCAAATGATTTGAAACGGGCAACTCACTTGGTCTAAAGGATTTATCACTTTTTTGAGAAGATACTTTGCTGACATCCACAATGGAATGGCCTTGCTTTAAATGAGCATTAGCATCCATTGGATTCAAAAATTGGCCATTACTGGTAAAACTTTTATCTGTATAAGTACTGGATGCATTTTCATTTGAACCATTAAGGTTAGCACCCTCTTTCCCACCATCTGATGGAAATTGATCATCACCATCCTTTATACCAACATCTGCAACAGCATTAATCATATCTATGTCAATCTTTGCAGCTCTTGCTGCCACAAAGTCTTCCTTAGATTTAAGGTTTTTCAATTCTACATAGGCAGAACGTAATTTCTGATGCAACTCAGATGTGGTTTCAGCACACTGTTCAAGATGTTGACGTATAAGAGCTGAGTTCAGCAATTCATCACATAAAAACTTGAGCAAGAAGACTCTCTGCACCAGAGCATAAGGAAGTTCCATTAATTGATGAAATAAGCATGGAGCCCAAGACCACAGTATATTGTATAAAAGAACCCAAAAATTAACGCTAGCATAAGACATACTACTTTCATACATCATTGAAGCCATTTGTTATCAAGATGGTACAATGACCTTCTTTAGTTAAAAAATGGTTACAGAATATATATTCATTAACCAGAGAACCATTTATCTCAAAGCACAGCAATTTCCCCCAGATATTACTAATACACAACATCCATTTTATTTAGAACACGGGGTTTCTTAACCCGCAAAGAAAGTAGTTTCCCTACATATCTAGTAAGGACCAAAGGCAAATCACATACTTACCATTAAATTTGTTTGCCTAGGCATCTTCCCATATTTCACTTAAGACATGTATTTGGATCATGCATTTCTTCTTCCCATTCTATTTCGCCTTGCAAAAGTCATGTGCATGGGAATACTAGACTTCTATCTCATTTTTACATAAATGTACAAAAATAACTTCTTTCACTATGGAACCGAACCACAAGATGCAAAGAGTAGTAAAATGCAGGATATGATGCAAGTCTGAAGTCAATTCTCAGCCTAAACAAAAGTAGGGGCTAAATTCCAGGTCACTAAAAAGACCCAACAAAGGCAGATGAATAGTTCACCTCATAAGTAGACGCTAACCAGAAAGGGGATAGCAAATCTCATTGACAAGTTAAATCATAATTGATTTTCAGATCTAATATAGCCACGTAAATGCATTGCAATTGAAGGACACATGCAATTAGAAAGAACATGGTAACTGCAGATTTATCATAAAACATTCCAAACCAAAAATAATAAGCAAAATTCAGCCAAACTGCAGTCAACATGCAATCAAACAAATGAAAATTGTCAAGCACGATATTGATGAAAGAAAGGTTAACCAAAGAATATAACTAAAAAATTGCACACCAAGCAGAATTCACATACAAACCTCATCTATACTAAACTGCCAATACTCCTTTTCTTCCATTACAGCTGCTAAATGTGCAAGTGCTTCCAAGTAACCACAGGTAACCGCTCCCTGATACTTTTTACCTCTCCGTTGGATGATGACTTGTGAACGTTCCAATGTGTCTTGAACCATATGTTTGCTGACAACACAAGCAGGGCAATACCAGTTCCCCTCAGGGATCCTTGCCAGTGGAGGATTCAAGCAATAAGTATGATACTCAGCATCACAAGTATCACACAAAAGAACACTATCATCATCTTTATCAATACCGCATACTTTGCAGACTCCCTCATCCCAAGGCGCTTTGGGGATCTCACTTGTCAAAGCAAGTATATCATTTATTTCCTTCTTTGCCTCTGCACTCAAGCATTCCAATTTAGCATATTCTGCCAATTTCTGAACTAGGGTAAGTACCTGCAACAAAATAAATAAATAAATAATTAATGGGGACATCAAATTCCTAACTAATAGTTGGAATAACCCTTTTAAGCAAGTCAGAAAAATATGCAAATACAACCAGATTGCACACTATGTCTCCAGCATCAGGGATTTATTGATTTGAATGGAATTATTAGCATAACTGACAGACATTCCAATCATTTGTTTATTGTGCTATGTTGGAACATAATTTTACTGCCAACCTTCAAAATTAAGGAAGAATCATATATATAACATAATTTTATTTTTTATGTGTGAGTTAATTGTAAGATTTTCCTTTAAGTTTAATTTCTGAGATTCTAATAAAAAAAACAATGTTAATCCATAAAAATGAAGAACCTATTAGTAGATCTTCAGCATTCATAAAAGTTTCATTGGTAAGTGGTGCACAAATTCATAGTACAGCAACATCTAGGCACTTACAGGCCAGTTAATAATTAAAAAAAATAAACTTCCAAAGAAAGGAAAGAAAACAGAAAGAAACCTACGAACCTCCTGTTCATACAACGACTCAAAGTTTTGGGATAATGACTCTGCCAACTCAACCAAATCAGACTGATCAGTAAATGCAGTGTGAACATTACTCCATAACTGCCAAGCAAAAGTAACAATTATTAGATATGCTAATACATCAGCATGGTTCCAAAAAAGAAGACCACCAATCTTGAAAGATGCACAGAAGACCAGGATCAAAACAAATAAGCCCAAACAAAGAGTACAAGGATAAACTTAATAAAATGAAGCCCCAAAATGAAGATATTAAAGAGATAATAGCTGCAATAATGGCATGCATCAAAGCATTGCACTAAGGCTCATACAAAGTCAAGGCTGACAATCAAAAGAAACGACAACCAGGCACGAGAGCAAGTAACTATAGCATCTTAAAAAACAAAAGTTGAGCATCATAAGCTCCTAAGTTTTATGCATCTTCCCAACATATAAGAACATGCAAGGAGGAAAATAAAACTCAAAACCCACAATTAAGAGAATTTTCACTCATGCAAAGACATGTAACCTATATATATTGATTCACAAAAGTCTAAAACCATCTCCCAGTCCTTGTTTAATCATAACATCATCAAATACTGCTGAATAAAGAAGTAGCAGAAGAAGAAAAAAGAAAGCAGCATGCATTGCAAACCAATTCGGAAGAAACAAAAGAATTAAAAAGTTCAACCAGAAAAATCATTAAGTGACAGGGAACAAATGAAAAAGACAGACCTCGCGAACATCCTCAAGAAAAGCTTCATGTGATCCACCATATGCCCCAACTGCCAATCTTAAATCAATAGTCCTAAAATCCAGAGGACGAGATACCATGGCAGGAGATCCAAGAAGTCCCTCGTCATCAGTATCACTTGAATTCATTAGCTTTCTCCCGAGCAAGTTGCAGAAAATCTTTGAATCATCAGCAGCAGCAGCACGGCGTAATATGATGCGACATTCTTTCATGATAATATCAGATACAGATAAAACAATCTTCTTTTTACTTCTTCCCTTCTCAGATTTTTGTGCCAAACATTCATTGCGAACATCTGCTAGCACTGAAAGAACAGCTTTCTGTGTTCAATCAACAATAGAGAGTAATTCATTTAGAATCATGTTTTCAACTACATATTGCAGATTCTGAAAGAAAGACCAACTAGAAAAGAGAAACATGACAGTACTATACAGATGGATAACAATCAATTCAAAGAGAGAATATTCAAGCCCAAACCTTATGTAACTATTTTTCTTTTATAAGCATTCTATTTTCAACATTAGTAATATTTTCATACTTAGATTTCATTTACACTACTACTAAACAAGGAAATGCACCATAAAATATAAATACAAATGAAGATATAATGTCTATGGGTTAAAAAAAAAAGGAAACAGTCTCTTAATTCTTAAATAAGATCCTTTCTTTAAGTTTACTAGATTTTAAAGTACAGGGCCAAACGGCAGGTTAAAGCAGTCAAAATAAAAAATTTCTAAGACATAACAGTCATAAAGGATAAATTATTGCAGTACAACAAAATTCATCAATCCTGCACCAGAAAAGCTTATATATTTAGACCACACCAATGCACAATCTGATCTGTTCTGTCTCCAACAGCATTCCAGCCTATACCACCGAACAACTCACCCCAATCCCAAGAAAATAAAACAAAATAAAGCATAAAAGAAAATAAAGAGAAATAATGCCCACAAGACAACATAAAAAATCAATCAATGAACATAAGTTCAAAAATAGAGAAAAATCTTCATGCCAAGTACTTGGACAGTACCTTTGTTGGTCCTGATGCATTGCCCTTATAAACTTCCTTACTGATTGAATGTTCCAATATTTTCTTTGCCCATTCTGGTGGATCTTTTGCCAAAGCATCATAGACACACCTTCTGATTCTGGTTCCAACATTTGTTGGCAGCTTTCTAACAGGTTCCAGCAACTTTGCCCACTCTGGAATATCACCATCATTCACAACATTCTTTTCACAAGCAACATTTTCGTCAGGTCTTTCATCTTCTATGGTCAAAACATCACTTTTTATGTTCAAAGAACCAAAAATTCGCTTTGTAGCCTCTGCAAGCAACTGAAGTTCAAACGAGTTAATAGGTAATAGAAGACATTCTCTTCTTCTGAATGTATGAATGTAGTATTCAGCAAGAAACACAGAATTGACTAGGCCAGCATGTGAACTCGTTTCCAGTGTGCCCTTCCATCTATGAATACTCTTCAATACATCTACATTAATTGAACATACATGCTCGAGGAGGGAAAAAAAACACTTGAACGTTAAAAGAAATGCTGCACCCAGCAGCAAAAGAATCCAGGCTAAATGTGTTCTAAAACAATTGCACAAACTAAAAGTAATATAGCAGTCAAGCATCCTACAAAAGGATGAACTCTGAAATAGAGGTCAATCCATAAAATATTAGCAAGCATATCATCAGCAGATCTTGACATTTCTTTGTCACCAGAAGAGCGCTAAGGGAGAAGGAAAGACTGAAGCTAAACGCAACAATAATAATTTCTGAATGAAGCTTTTCTAAACTTTCAAAACATTTTTCATTATTTTAAGTCAACACTATCTATAAGAGAAAGGAGTTTACTAAAAGAAAATAAAAATATCAATAGCCAAACTTACGAGTGCATCAGCTTCCATCCCAGCCACCCCAGTAAGTGAACCACAAAGCACCCCACCATCACCTTGTAAGCAACGAAAAACTTTACCACTCTCACGGGCAGTGATCTCTGCTGAGTCAAGATTACCATCCATGGATAAGACAGACAACACATATCTTCTAGCTAACTCAGGCCAGGTCAATTCATTGATTGGGAGCACACTGAGCTTAACTCGTTTAGCAGGAGTTGTACTATCTAAATCTTTCTTCCTTCCCCTTTTAGATCTTGACTCTCCAGAATCAAAATTCGGATCAACAAGTGCAGCAACCTTTGATTGCAGCTCAGTTATTAGCACCCCTAACAGTGAGCTGTGAGCCTTTGTCAATGTCATACCAAAGCATCTTCGGTAACTAAGATATGCAGGCCTAGCCTTGTCAGCTTCCATCATTTCTCCTGTTTCCATCTGTATAAATGAAAGTGGATTTTCCATAGAAGTTGTCATACAAGAGCCATGACTTGGAGAAACATTTTGTTCACCCATACCATCAATTCTAAATAAACTCAGGACATCAGTTCCCTGGTTTTCATTGTCAAGTTTATGAAACAAATTTGAGTGATTACACCAGGGATTGATAAGCTCCTCTTCGAGTTCATTTGCTAAAAAAGGTTCTTTTAAACCAATGATTTCGCGGAAGCGCCACAATAACTCCCACACCTGAGTATATAAACATAGAAAGTATAAATAAGATCATCATATACAAGCAACTTCATACTCAAAAGGTATCTTAGATTTGTTTCCTCAACTAACAACATATGCATACCTGATGAAAGTCACCAACAAGTTCAGGAGGAAGTCTCAAGCACAATGACTTCCCTGCAGGAGGACCACAGTCATCGGCCAACCGGGGCTTTTTGGACTTTCCAAATAAATCATCGAATCCTTTTTCTCCCTTGCACTCAAGACCACCTTGTGTATTAATCTTCAGGAGACCATTTCTTATGGTAAAGGATCCTGAATGAGAACTTCTTTTCTTCAGAGATTCATATCCTGAACAGGCCCCAACACCAGGAAGCTCTTCAATGATTTCTTGTACAAATTCTGCATCCAGTCCAAATCTATCCTGGTCCAGCCATTGTGTCAGTTCATCAGCCAAATTCTCCAGCTCATCAGTCTTATACTCAAAAGGAATGAAGCGAGAGACTGGGAAGCCACAAAACTTAGCTAATGGAGTATACATTTCTTTGTTCTTCTCATCCATCATATCCAAGCTTGATGACCCCATTTCCTTTCCTGCATGCTTGCAGAAAAACTTCAGAGCACCTTTTCTTTTACATATCTCAGAGCAAGCATCAATAAATTTCTGAGATATAATTCTCCATGCTGCAGATGAGGAACGTTCTTCTACTGAAATTTCACCAATTTTGTCCATCAGCAGATCTACAGATTTGTCACAAATGAAACCTGCTTCAAGTTGGGATCTGTCAAAGTTCTGAACATAAGTTTCCTTCAAACTACTTCCCAGACAAGTCAAGATATCAGTTTCCATAGGCGGGCAAGGATCTGAAAGGATCATCTGAATACTGCCATCATCATCAAACTCTTTGTTACTATAATAAGTAGCATCACCTTCTTCATTATTCTGATGAGAAATTTGCTCAATTTTGGGCCAAAATAGGACAGTTGACCCAATCGGAAGGGACAATGCAGAGCATGAACACCTTCTGACCTTGAAAATAGGTCCAGAATCACCACCATCTAACACTTCACTTACAAAAAGGGAACCAGTGATCTTATCATGCCAGCAAGATCTATAACCTATAGGGAAGATCAAACTAGCACTATGATATGAAGGTCTCATGTCAACTAGCCCCAAAGAAAGAACAAAAAAATCTTCAAACTGCACAGGAAGCCCATCCTGGAGGAGTAAAAAGAAAAAAACAAAGAAGAAGAGGAAGAACCAGAATGAACATCAGGACAGTCAATGAAACTAGAGCACTTAGATTTCACAAACACAATATAAAAAACAGCTGAAAGAAAGGACATGAGCCACATACAAATAAGACAGGATACAATCAATAAGTCTGCTTACATTAGTTTGCTCAGATCCAGAGCTACCCTTCTCATCTTGCACAGCTTCAGTGGCTTTCATAGTACAAGATTTATTGGCATACATTTCCACTTCTTGACCATCACACGAAAAAAATTCCTTGCAATAGCCACTTATCAAGCTTTCCTTATTTTCAGGAAAACCATTGGCTATTGAAAATCTTGTTGACTTCCTCTTTCTTGGTAGATGCAATCTTTCCTGAAGAGAAGCCCCCTCATGTTTTATTTCAGTGTCCATAGACTTATAGTTTGACATCAAGCCAAGATAACAAGCAACATCAAACACTGAGTCAAATGTCTTCCCATCAGGAGCACAATAAACTGCATATAGTTCACAGCTGCTCATGGAATGTCTTAGTTCCACACGCCAACCTTCCTCAAGGACGCCATGTCTTTCTGAAACAAATTCTCTAAGAGCCTGCAGAAATATATCACTCGGATTCCGAGATGGAAATCTAATAGCTGTATTATTATTACCCATCAGCCTTCCTAATGGAAAACCCAAATCTTCCTCAGCAAAACTTTTATCTCTAGTTCGCTTATGATGCAATATATCTTCAAAACCCACTTTGACAGTATGTGTCACAATCCCACAAGCTTTTGGAAAGCCAAATCCATTACCGGCATACAAGGAATTTGAATATGTCAATGGGGCACCAAACCCATTGCCAACAAAAGAATTGTCATTCGGTGTGTGCTTTCTGGAACCAAAACAGAAGTTAACCAGTGATGATATATAACAACTTAAATTTCAAGAAATTTTTCAAAAATTATTCAAACAAGGTGCATGACTATAAAGATTCATAAAGGAAGCACAAACAAGCTAAAGCATGAGAGAACAGCACCCTCACTGGCAAATAAATGAGCTGAGGAAGCTCATAGTATAGTGTACACCACTTTCATAGCACATGGAAGCATATATTAAACAAGAAAATTACAAAGCCGGTTTCCCATAATTCCAAGTTAACATAGGGTGATGTTGTAAACAATTCATCATGGTTCAGACAAAATTAGTCTTCAACGTTACAAGGAAAAACAAAGAGCTTCCCATTTAGAGTGTGAGTTTCCTCAATTAAATACATGTAAATTCCTAAGGAGCAAAGTAGCATAACACCACTTTCACATGCAAGCATAATCTATGAATCAAGAAACTTCAACTAGAAATGAAGAAGAAAGTTAAGGAAGTTACTTTGTAAGGAAAACAATACTCAAACAAGGAATGCAAAAATGATAGAATGCCAGCAAAACCATGATTTCGTGGTCAATTATAATTTGTTCAACTACAATCCAAAGAAATATCAATTCATAGAAGAAAAAATTAACCATCTTAAGTCCTTGCTTAAGTAACATATAGCTATATTGTCTATCCACCACTTGACTGACACACCTTCAGGCATCAGCTGGGAATGTTTTCAAATTTTAGGACAAAGTTGTAAGCAGAAATAGGAGTAAATTCTTTCATACACATAGAACATCAAGTAAAATGCTAAAAGCAACCAAAAGCTTATTAATAATCTCATAAAGTAGTAAAACTAATACAATCTAAAACATCAGAATAACCAGTTCAATTACATTGACTTGATCAGCTTCAGAACAGTTCATTTCCCTAAAAAAAATGTTAAGCTAGAGTACAACTAAAGTCCCTATCATGAGTCACAAGCTACAACCTACCCAAATATCCTGACCATATCTAAAAGTTTGCATGCACACTACATCCCAATTCAATCAAGCTGCCTCTCAACATGCAATGTAATTTTTAACCAGCCCTCATTCCCTATCATGCAATATTCTACTAATAGAAACAATAAACACATAAAACTCCATCACTTAGATATTACTTATTTGCTTAAACAAATGCCTAGCAAACTTACCCCAGCTCCAAATTAAACACATTTTTAACTCTTGAAGCTAAAAAAAAAAAAAAGAAATAAATCAAGCAATGCAGTATCTAACACCCCCAAAAATCACATTCCAAATTTATTCACTCATAACTAAACGGGTTCACATTAATGCCAGCCCAAAAACTTTCTAAACTGCACATTAATAACTTAAACCCTAAATTAAAAATTAAAATAACCTAAATTCAAATTACTAATTCTAAGCTTTAAGTTTTACCTCACTAAATCCTGCACCTCCTCACCATCACCGTCAACATCACTTGGCGGGGAAGCATTGATATCAAGAATACGCTTCTTTGCCTTTAATCCAAGCGGCCACCGTTTACTCCGTACACCGTGTTCGACGCACTCTCCACAAACCCACTCCTCGGCCGCAGTCAACCTTTCGGAAAACCCAGCGCATGCCAGATGAAAACCTCGCTCACAGCCGTCACAAACCACCACTCTTCCTCTTCCTGCTTTTCCCGCCGCCACCGACTTCCCACACGCGCCACACTGCTCCTCTTCCTTCCCTACGGGAACACCCGCGGGCTCACCTAGGGCCGGCTCGGAGTTCTCGTGGATAGCCCGAACTATTGAAAACGAATCGGGTTCGGCAGAGTCGGATTCGGGTAGGGCTTCGGTAAAAGAAGAAGGGATCTCGTTTAGATCGATGCCGAGAGGTGAACGAATCTCGGGCTTTGAATCGTTCGAATCGGTGAGTTCCATTTTGGTTTTTTTTTTTATCGGACTAGGAGTTTTTTGAAGAACAAATACATTTCTTTCTGGCTTTGTTACTAATTTTCTTTTTTTTTTAAACAAAAGTTAACAAAGATTTGACAGACAAAAACATAGAAGAGAAGAGTTTTTTTTTTATTATTTATTATTATTATTGTTTTTTCGGATAGGAGGTAAAGGACTGTACTCGCTCTTATGATGTGACACGTGGCATGAGAAGTCATAAAAGGTTATTGAGTTTCTGTTTGGGAAAAATAAGGAGATCCAGTTCGGTTGGGGAGATATTGTCATGAGTACTGTATTGTACGATTTGGGTTTGTAAAATATCAAATCGTTTTTTTTAATAAATGTAAAATATATAAATATTATATCATAATTTATACTAATATATTAAATATAAATTTTATTTTTAAAATATTTTATTTTATTTTATTTTATTTTTTATATTATATTATCACATCATATTTAAAATTAATAAATCTAAATTTAAGTTACCAAAAACTATCAAAATCAAATAATTTGAGTTTTATGCTTTTCTTTTCTTTAATTTATTAATCTTATATTTCTATTAAAAAATATTAATCTTGTATTTAAATTTCATATTTCCCGTTTAATTATTTTTATTCATACCCATTTAGTTTAATTTTCTTTGAATCGGAAATTTTAATCCAAATTTTATATTTTGTTTGATATTGCATTTGCTATCACAATCATAATGAGCAAGATGTAATTAAAAAATTAAAATTACTTTATTTACATATAATTTATAAAATAAAATTGATAAATTTTAAATATTATTGTTTAACTCTGGAGTAAAAAAAAAATTTATGCATTCGACATTCATAATTTTACCAATAAAAATCAAAGTAAAATAGATGGTGAAACTAGATCTAATTTTTTTAGTTATTTATATTAAAATTGATAGTTTTTTTTTTTTCATTTTTTCAATAATATGAAAATCATGCAATTGAGGATTTGGCATGCAAAGGATTTTTTTTTAAATTTTTACAAGTTAATAATGTATGTAGATATGACTATTTATATATTTATATAATGTAAAATATTAAAATTTATGTATTTATATTATATTATACATAAAAATTATGTATTATAATTTAATATAAAAATAAAATATATTTTTTATTTATTAAATTTATATATGATTATTATAAAAATTTTAAAAATTTTTATTGTGTTATTATATTTTTCTCTTGTTATTAGGTCGTTTTTAGATTATCGGATATAAATATATATTAATGGCAAGCAAAATTTGTTACAACTTTTTTTGGGGAGAGAGAGGGGCATGCTATCAATCATGAATTTGTTTAGTGGAGTGCAATACCAACAATAATTACTTCCCACTTTTAAATAGCATTCGATTTTTTTTTAAATAATTAGATAAAAAATAAAAAAGATTGTAAATAACAAAAATATAATCAATCACTTACAAACAAAGATGAATCAATATTGAAGTTCCAAAAGGATTGGTTTCAAAATAAATATTCATTATTAATTTTGAAAAAAAAATGATAAAGCACAAGGATGTTAATTTTGGAGAAAAATTAGAGTTAAAGAAAGCTTATATATATTTTTAGATAAAAATTTATTATATAAAAAACTCATATAAATAAAATAATAAAATATTTATATTAATATAAATTATCATTTTATTATTTATTTTTAATTTAAAATTTGGGAAACCAAAATTTGAATTTGATTTGGTTTTAAAACCAATTTGAAATTTTGTAATTTTCAAACCAAATCAATCCAAATCAAATTAATTGGTTTGGTTTGATTTTCTTTTTATGGTAGTCAATAATGCTTTACTCTAATTAGATTTAATAATTTAAAATATGATACAATAATAAAATTAAAAATAAAATTAAAATTAAAAAAATTATAAATAAGTTTAATAAAATCAAAAATTTATATTTTATATTTTTATTTCGACATGAACTGTGTCATGTTATTTTTATAAAAAATATAACATAAATATAATATTTTACATAATATAATAATACGAATTACCAACCTTAATCTTGAAAACTAATAAACCTTAGTTGATCAAAATTAGGTTCATCATTAAATGCATGCTAAAACTTTTGATAAAAGAAAATAACAAATGAGTGCATGGGGGGCTTAAATTAAGATGATTGACCAATTCTATGCAATAAATTACTCTTTTTTGTATTCAACAACTTATTAATTCTTTTGCATGCATAATACTCCACCTTAATTTTTTTAATTTATTTTTAGCAAAGGGACAAAAAATTTATAAACAAATAATTTAATAAAAAAAAGTTGAATTTGACCTTCCATCTGTCCTTGTTTTTTGTAATACCATAAAATATTTTAATGATTATCTGTTTTTTTTTCGAACATGTATTTTTCAACAATAATATGATGTATTTAATATTTTACTTTAAAAATATTTTTTAGAAAAAATTAAATCTTACATTATTAAAAAATAAAACTCTTTTTGAATTAATTATTATGAATATTTTTTAAATTTAGAGTTATCAAAAATTAAAAAATTAAAATTATATTAATAAATCACAAAATTTTTTACATTCTAAATATTTTCCATTTATATAAAATAATAAAAATTTGTAAAAAAATTGGAATAATTTATATAAAATTTTAAGTTATATTTATCAAGTTCTTTTATTAAAAATGATTTAATAAAAAATTTAAATAAAATTTTGATAAAATTTAATGAAAATATTAATAATATGTAAAAAATATTATTGAAAATGACATTTATAATTAAATTTGATAATACTTATTTAATGGTGAAAGTTTATTAAAATTTATTAAAAATATATTTCTAAAAAATATATTAAATTTTACTAAAACTTTTTAAAAATTTTTATACTTAATTTATATAATAAAAAATTTTAATCTATTAATTTTAATTTTTTAATATTTATTTAATTAAAAAACTTTTCGAAATTCACAATTCACGTGACTCCTATGAAAAAAACACTCAAAAGACGGGAGAGGACCATACGGTGCACCGACACTTGTTTCAAGATTTTGTTTATAATTTATTTATTTTTTAAATGAATCATGAAAATTTTTTAAAATAATAACAACAAAATTATACCCAAAATTATTGGGTTTATAAAGTTGCTAAGGGTAGTTGAACCTGCTTACCACAATTATATAAATTGATCATTTAACTTACTTTTTATAATAAAATAAATCATAATTTTTTCAGATAAATGCATATATATCATTGTTATTAAAATAAAATTTTGTGTATTTTTTTTTATATTTTAAGACAAAAAAGATTGTGTTCATAATGTATCTTATATAATATTAAAATATTATTTTAATTAAAATTATAAATGAATCGAATATGGACAATGAATAAATATATATTTATGTTTGGTCATTTGTTTTTAAATATATTTATATTCGGTTTGTATTTATTAAAAAATTTACTCTATTCGTTCATATTTATTCATTTAAATAATAAATTATTCATGATCGTTTAATTAAATTAAATGAGCTCGTTGGTAAATATTAAATGAATATGTTCACGAACATATATAAATAAATAATTTATAATTAATAAATAAATTATAATTAAACAAATTTAAACAAACAAACCTTAAATGAATATAAACGAACAAAAATAAACATAAATGAACTTTATAATATGATTAAGATAAAAGATAAAAATGTAATTTTATTTATATTATTATAAATAAATAATAAACGAATAATAAATAAATGAATTTTAAACAAATCATAAATAAATTTGTTGGTGAATATAAATGAATGAACTTGAATCGTTTAATAAATAAGCATACAAATAATATTTAAAATCATTTATTAAGTTTAATAAATAAACGTAAATAAATAAAAATTAAATATATTTACAAATAATTCATCCAAAATTTTGTTCACTTGCACCTTTAACATTAATGATCCCACAAGATTTATCTAAAAGAAAAAATAAAAGGAGAAACTCATTTGAATGTTACTCTTATGGAAACGACTTTGATTAAAATAATGATTAGGCATGCAAATGATATGTCACGTTTTGAACAAATACATTTCATTATTTTTTTTCAAATGATGAACCATCAAATCAAAATTTCACCTTTGGAGCGCAAATTCAATAAAATTAATATAAATTGTTTAATTTAAAAAAATCCATAGAAATAATTTTACAATTCATCTATTTATAATAATCGAAATCATGACGAATCGATATTTAATTGATTTTCTCATTTATATATATATTTAAATTATGATTGTATAAATTAAAATTTTTTACTATTTTTGAATGAATAAAATCACATTCATCTATTTAAAATCAATAAAAAGCAGTGGCATTTTCGGTATTTGAAGCAAGACCAAGGGTATTTACAAAATAAAAATTAATTTCAGCTGCGAGAGAGAGAGAGAGAGAGAGAGAGAGAGAGGCAGTCTCACATGCAAAAAACCCCTGCTACCTGCCGGGCCCGGTCGGATTTCTTCCAAGCATAGTCTACACCGTGTCGTTTTGGGTCAGTTCTCTCCAAATTTTTTTTTCTTCTGTGCAGTAAAAAAAGTCTCCATTTTTCACTGGAGAGTCTAAATGCAAGTGACAGCATTCCCCGATCACTCTCTCTCTTTCTTACTCCGGTTCTGTCTCTCTTGTTTTTATTTTATTTTATTTTTATTTTTATTTTGTTAAATTTAATTTTCGAGGAAAAATTATGAACGGAAGAGACATTTCTCGACGAGATCTTGTATTTAAAAAAAAATTGTTGCTTTAGTTTCATTTTCATTTTTAAAAATTTTCTGTAATTACATTTTCGATGTCTAGATCTCTCTGTTCGCTTTGATTTTTTTTTTTGTGGAAATTTCGGAAATTGTGTTAATTCGTGGATTTTGATCTGTATTTAATCAAGCAAATGGAGATTTACTTAGGTTAATTGTTTATTTTTTATTGTATATGCAATGTGAAGAATTTTGGTGCAAATTTATGTATAAATTATTTAAATTAAATAGTTTTTTCTGTGTATATGTTGGATTTTTTTTGTCTGTGGTGAAATGATGCTAAATTTGGTTGAATTGAGGCTTTAGAGTCACTAATTAGTGTAATGTTTTTCAGATTGTGGCAATGTTTTTGGGTTCAATTTGTATAAAAAGGTAATTTGAAGTGGATGTAGGCAGTTGGTTGGCTCATTATTGCTCAATTTCTGAAATGTGGGTTAACAATGTTGGTAGTTAGGGTGTACAGTAGGCATTATAGGAACAGGTTGTTAAAAATGAGTGAAATTTGTGGAACGAAAGATGCAAGCATCGAATGTATGATTACTGAATAAGAATTTTAGAGTGCTTGGCTTAGAATTGCTTTGTTTGTTGTGTCAATCTGAGAAAGTGAATGATAGGGTGGTCATTGATTGAGAAGAAAAACAGGATTTTACTGTTTTCAGCTATGTAGTTCTCTAAGCCAACTAGCCAAGCGATTAATTTAATTTCATTGTCAGTTTGTTTGTAAGATTGTACATCGGTAGTGGAATATGTCGATGTTTATTTATTCTTTTCCTTTCGGTTTCAGACTTTAATTTCTATAATGTCGGGGAATGCTTTAAGAGATCTCAATACTTTACCTACGTCTGAGAGGAACAGTGACAGCTCTAGTAAAGGGGCATTTACTAAGCCTTGCAATGGGAAGACAATTGAAAATGTTGAAGAGCAGCAGAAGAAAAGCCCTGCTTCTGTTCATATAAATGGTGGTGAAACTGTAAGTGCTGGAGTAGAGGTAGCTAATTTGGAAGTAGAATACATTGAATCTGAGAACTTGAGTGATCTAGAAGATGTTGATACATGTCTGAAGGTATAATTTTCTGTTTGTTTTTTCTTACACTTCATGCTCTGATTTCTGATGGTCCACTGTTTGCTTGCATATTTACCTATATCAGAAGCTCTTTCCTGGACTCGACTCTAAAGATTGGGTTCTAGTTGCTGAAGCGCTCAACAATGTTCGCCGACTATCAATATTCCATAAGGAAGCAATGCACAGTATGCTGTAAGTCTCAAATTCTCACTTGGTTATCTGACTGGAAAGACCAGAGGATGGGGAATCTAATACTGTTGTCTTGGATTTAATTTGATTAGTGTATTTCTTTCTGTGTTCTAATGTGCAGGGGTGATTTGATCCCTCTTGTAGTTAAGTCCTTGAAGAATCCAAGAAGTGCTGTTTGTAAAACTGCAATTATGACATCTGCAGACATTTTCAGGGCATATAATGATGATCTGATTGATTCTTTGGATCCCCTGGTATTTTCACACTTAATGCGTTTTATTTTCATGCTGGTTTGGGTGCCTGTTTGCATTTTTGGATGGTATACTGCCATCTTGGTTATTTTTCTCTTTTGTGAATGTTTCTTTATCTTGGGATACAAGTAAATGAATTTGGCTTTTCTGATGTGTTAAAATATGATTGATACAGCTGGTACAGCTTCTTCTTAAGTCTTCACAAGACAAAAGATTTGTATGTGAGGCAGCTGAGAGAGCTTTAGAGGCAATGACTACTTCAGTTTCCCCTACGTCTTTGTTGCCCAAGTTGCAACCCTATCTTAAGAACAGAAATGCACGAATTCGAGCAAAGGCATCAATGTGCTTTGGTCGTAGTGTTCCACAATTGGTAGGCAAATGATATATGAAATGCTTCCTGCTATTTTATTTGTTTTGAAAAGGGTTTGGTTTTTCCGGTCTTTATCATGTTTAATTTGTGCCATTGATGTGGATGGTGCCTTTGTTTACTATATTTGCAGCAACATAAACATATAAATTTCAATTAACTGAATTCATTTAAGTAGTTAGTGTGTAGCTATATGTGGGTATTTATAGTATATAGTTTGCAAAGCTAAAGTTTATTCTTCTCATTCTCTTTCCAATCACTTTATCATGCATGCCTAGTTTTATTTTTCCTTCATGAAAATATTTTCCCCTTCACTTTTGTATTAAGTTAATGCAGTCACTTTGGTTTGACAGGGTGTTGAAGGAATTAAAGAATATGGAATTGACAAATTGATACAAGTAGCTGCATCCCAGCTCAGTGACCAACTCCCAGAGTCCCGGGAGGCTGCTCGAACGCTTCTTTTGGAGCTGCAAACCGTATATGAGAAATCCAATGGCCTCTCAACAACAGTATCTGAGCATCCAGAGATGGGCTCTTGGGAAAACTTTTGTCAGTCAAAACTCTCTCCTTTAAGCGCACAAGCAGTACTTCGTGTCACAAAAATTGCTCGGGAAGGTCTTGTTATTGGTTCCTAACAGTGAGTTTTATATAAACCATATATGAGTTTGTAGCAAGTAATGTCTTTTTAATTTTACCCACATATATGAGCTCTAGCGTGCAGAGTCTAAGGTCACCTTTTATTGATTTGGCTTTGGTTTTATCTTTTTTTCGTTGTAAATTCCCTTGAATCACTGAGATGCCTTCTATCCTGGTTAAAAATTTGTTGGATTGGAATCTTACGAATGAAATTCTTTGCATATGGTTCCCTCTCTGTCTTCCTCATCCATGTCATGGTTGCTAAAATAGTACAGTTTGCTTAAGCCTTTTTGCTTTAATCTCATAGCAGAATGTTCTACCAGAAATGTTACATAGTAATATATATACATATATATATATATATATATATATATTTATGATGACTTTATGATTGCAGTGGCAGATCTGAAAGAAGCAATAATGTCAATTATTGAGTGCTCATCTAAGAGTTGGCTTCTAGCTTAGATGTCTTAATCATATGTTAACATCTTTTTGTGTGTGTGTGTGTGTGTGTGTGTGTTTGTGTTTATTGTCATCTTGTCAATTTCTTAGCTGCCGGCTATGGCTTGTGGATATGCCATAGCTGGAAGATGGAGAATATGCTTTGTTTTATTTTAATTTATATTGTAAAAGCTTTATTCAAAGCAACAGATAATTTATTTTTTACAAGTTAGATGTGAAATTAAACTTGTTTTCTACTCCCCATGTTAGAATATCACATCAAATTTTACTTTTTTTTTTATTTGAAATTTCTCTTCAACCCAAGAGATAAAAAAACAACTAATATGTTAAATTTTCTGGCCTAACTTTTTATATCCATTTTCTCAAGTTCCTAACAATGATAAGATATAAGTGAATGAATATATGATTTTGTGTCAAAATGGTATTCCAACGTGTAACGAGTTTGAGTAATACCCAAAAATTTACTGTTATTTTTAATCATAAAGAGACTTTGATCAGTTGGAATAATTCTACCACTGTTTTAGGACATGAAAGCAGATTTGAGACAGTAGTAAACCCAAAAACATAGTGTAAGACAGGACAAAATGGCTTGTTGCTTGGACAGAACATTGTGCGGTCTGAAATACGGGGCATAGTCTTAATGAGGCCTGCCTGAATTCTGATCTGAATGACAATACTGCCAAACAAAATGGGCAAAAGTAGGACTGCAAACGAAGAGCAGAGTTGTCTCTTCCCATGGAGGCCGCCTGATTTGTCAGAAAAAAAGAAGTGGTCGAAGTACACAAAGCCAAATAAGAATGAAATTATAGAGAGAAATGAAAGAAAAGAGACAGAAGAAAAGTTTAAATCATCAATCTTCCTATGATTTTGTCTCCACCTGCTTACATTCGTTTGAACCTTTTTTTAATCTGTATAAAAACAGAAACACACCTGATCAGCTTTTTGCTAGTAACTTCACTCGAATCAAAATATACATTAACAAAATCTTATCATCCTGGCGAACAGATGTGTGATTGGTTTGATAAAGTGCTGTACTCTTAATTTCAGTGGTACAGATTTGATCTTAAAATTTTATCATCTTGCCAATAGCTTGTAGAGTCCTACAAAAAAAATCTTATCATCCTGTCATTTCTGTCATGTTTCAGGTTGTTGTCATCTTTTGAGGTATATTTTCTTTGTAAGTGGCAAATTTTGCTTTTCCGATGAAAATCAAGGGGATTTAGAAAAGATTGCGATGAGCATTAAACATCTGGCGGTGGGTGCAATACAGATTATGGAAATGGCAATTGTTATAACTGTGCTTCTGCTATTTCTAGGTGTTGGAATGCTGGTGATAATGCATGTATGTATAGTAGGAAGAGCCTTCAGGAGAGGATTCGGGAACCCAGGAAACTTTGACAGGAGCAGCAGCAGGAACAGAAGCATGTCCCTGGATGATTTACACAGGCTTCCCTCTTATGATTACATAGCAAAAGACAAAGGAAGTAGTCCAGTGGATTGTGCTGTCTGCCTGGAAAACTTCAAGATGGGTGAAAAGTGCAAGCTACTGCCTCAGTGCAGGCATAGTTTCCATGCAGAATGTGTGGATTCATGGCTTCTGAGAAACCCCATTTGCCCAATTTGTCGAACCAGTGCTGATTCAAGCAAGGATGGGTTGGTTTTAGGCGAGGAAAGTAGTCGTTCCTGTGAAAATGTTGTTCAGTTGAGAGGGAGTCCAAGTAGGGAAGGTAGTAGACATTTGGATGATGTTAGAATTGAAATTGCAGAGAACCAAACAAGAGAAGCTCGTATTATTACTTGCAACGGGCATGAATCAAGAGAAAACCAAACAAATTTAGTTGCCATTCATTCGAGTTTTGCAATTGAAACTACTACAACTACATAGTATTGTTATATTTCCAAAATGTTGTAACTTTAAATCATCATCCAATTTTAGTGAATTCATTTTTTTTTAATGAGATCCATAAATAAAAAATTTTATAAATGTTAAAATTTGAATATTAAATTTATTAAATGTTACCTATTAAAAATTATTATTACTATACATCAATTACTAAAAGATAATTACATCAATCAATTAAATCATATACATTGAGAAAGAGTTAACTGGCCCAACCCAAGATTTTCTTCTCTTTTTAATTTTTACAGTAAAGAAATCAGGCACACAAAAAATGACCCAATAGCACAAGAGTAGTGGGTCGAATGGCCCAATAGAGCTCACAAATGCATCCTGCTTACTTCTGTCAGGCTTGACCAAGAAGGTTTTGGGTATGTTAAATAAGTTTTTTTATATTTAATTGATATTATATAAAATATTAATAATTTATATATTCATCTAATATTTTATAAAAATAATCTGTCACGATTTATACTCACATAAAAATATAAAATATATTTTTTGATTTTATTAAATTTATTTATAATTTTTATTAAAATTTTTAATTATATTATTTCGTATATTTATTCATATTATTTTTATATCGTATCACATTGTCATAATTTAAATTATGAAATTTACTTTTAACACATTCCTCTACTTATACTAAGGCAAAAGGTTTTTTTTTTTTACTTTAGTTTTTATTTATTTTCTATTTTTTACTTTTTTTCCTTTTGTAAAAAAAAAAAAAAAGGTGAAGACATCTGTATCAAAGAAAGCCCAAGTAAAATTAATGCACTTTTCGTATCATGGTCAATGGACCAGATTTATTTTAATTTATATTTGATATATTATTAATATATAAAATTTATAAATTATTAATAATTAATGATATAATTTCATTAATAAATAAATATTTTAAAAAAATTATTTATTAATAAAATAAAATATTTTTATTTTATTTTATTAATAAAATAATATCATTCAGTGTATTAATTATATATAAAATTTATACATTAATAATATATCAAACATAATTCTTTATTTTTTTTGTCTTCTGTGGGCATAACATTTTTGTCTATATCATAATCTCACAAGAGGGAAACTCTCATACGGCAAGCTTCATAGCCATTCTAATTGTTGCGTTGCTTTTATCTGATATTTACCAAAAGTTGAGTGAGACTGTGAGGGGTGGGCTGCTTCTCTCCTGGCCTTTCCCCTATCAGAGTTGATTTCTTGATTTTGGTTTCAAAATGAGGCACATCCATTCAAGATTACTTACCTTCTAGGTAGTTTGACAGTGTTCTTTCTTTATTAATTTAACTGAAAATTATAACACTGTGTTGTCAACTCTTCTGATAATATCACAAGTAGTAAAGATGGATATGGTGAATTTCTCACCAAAATAAGCCATGTAGTTATGGATATATGTCATTACTTTTGTCACAGGTTTTTTTTTTTTTAATGAAAGAGGCCATTGATTTTAGTTGTTCAGGATACCTGTTTGCTGATTACCAGCCATACAATGAAGGATGGAGACTTTGCCATGAATGTGGAAAGTCTAATGGTAAATGAGAAGAGACACATTGAAAAGCAGACAACAAACTTACCAGGAATAGACCGTATGCAAACTCAGAAATGTCTTTTAGCTTTCCAGTAAGCCTCAAGGTCTTCCACACGAAAATGTCTATTCCATGCTGATACTGGTTTCTTGGTGCTTCTAAGACTTCATACTTTGAGATCAAAAGTTAATCACCTACTATAATTTAAACGGGATAAAAAGAAATGATATAACTTAAAATTTTAACAAAAGTTAAATTTAAATTTGAAAAAAAAATTTATGTTTGACGTATGATATGAATTATAATATCATAATTTTCATATTATATATATATTAAATATAAAATAAACAGACAAAATATACACCATCTTTCAAAATTCAATATTAAATCTCAGCTTGATATATATACATAGAGTTACACCTGATAGTGACAGTTCAGTGGATGCCTAATAAGCAAAAATATTAAAGTATGTGGAAATTCATACGAGAATAAGCCTGAAAATCATCACTCCAAATTCTTACTCTTACTATACTTGGCAGTAGGAAATATCTGAGGCAAAAGTTAAGAAAACTGCAATTATTTGTCATACTTCGAAGTTTTATAAAAGTTTTGTTGTTAAATGCCAAAAACCTTTACTGTCGGGTACAGTGGTGGGAGTGGAAATGTGAATAAAAACAAAGGAAAACTGAGAAATCACATTTCTTCATCAATATTTCAAGAATAGATCACTAAATCTTTGTCCTGTTTGAGTCTAAGTTGATAGAAAAAAGAAAAGGGAGCAGGCCCATTTTGTCAGAAGTAGACAAGCCACAGTCCAAGCAGCAAACTTTAAACAGATTTTTGTCTATATCAGAATCGTCCCAGTCCAAGCAGCAAACCTCATCCATAAAATCTGATTCTCATTTAATATACCATCTTCTCTTCCATTTTTCCCCTAAAAAATGGAAGAAAAAAGGAAGAAATATCTCTAGGTGGAAGTAAATAGCATTAACATGCATGGTCCACAAAATACAATGTCAGCTGCACTGAGCTGTAACAATCCTCTATAAAAGATTTGCACCAGAATTCAGGATTGCCACAACCACAGATTCATGATTAAGCCATAGAAAGGTGGAAAGAGAGTAAGAGGAAAGGACTATGGAGACAAATTCATCTAATTTTTCATTCCACCGTGTGCTCCTCTTTCCTTTCATGTCAAAAGGTCACACCATACCAATTCTCCCCCTAGCTCGCCTCTTACTCCGCCGTGGCTTCGCTGTTACAGTCTTTACCACGCCAGGAAACCGTCACTTTATTGCTAAGTCTCTTGCTGACACTTCAGCATCTATCATTGACATTCCTTACCCTGAAAACATTCCTGAAATTCCAGTTGGTGTTGAGAGCACTGATGCACTACCTTCAATGTCACTCTATGTTCCGTTTTGTAGAGCCACAAAGCTCATGCAACCAGAGTTCGAAAGGAAGCTTCAGAGTCTGCTTCCTGTGAGCTTCATGGTATCAGATGGGTTCCTTTGGTGGACTCTAGAGTCTGCAACAAAGTTTGGTTTCCCGAGGTTGGTGTTTTATGGCATGAACCAGTATGCCATGAGTGTGTTAAAAGCTGTAGCTGCAGACAGGCTTTTGTTTGGGGCTGAGTCAGATGATGAGTTGATCACAGTTACTCAACTTCCATGGATTAAGGTCAGTAGAAAAGACTTTGATCCAAAATTCTTAAAGCCTGATCCAAATAGTCCTTCGTTGGAGTTAATCATGGATCAAGTGATATCAACAACAAAGAGTTATGGGTATATTGTTAACAGCTTCTATGAGCTGGAAAAATTTTTTTTTGATCGTTGGAACAGTGAGGAAAGGCTCAAGGTATGGTGTGTTGGACCCTTGTGTCTGGCTGAACCCCGCAAGGTTGAACATGAACCCCAGAAGAAACCCTCTTGGATTAAATGGCTAGATCAAAAGCTAGATCAAGGATGCTCAGTTTTGTATGTAGCATTCGGTACCCAGTCAGAGATCTCATCAGAACAACTTAAACAAATAGCAATTGGGCTGGAAGAATCAAAGGCTAACTTCTTGTGGGTTGTAAGGAAGAAAGAATCAGAAGTAATGGATGAAGGGTTTGAAGAAAGGGTTAAAGAGAGAGGTATTGTGGTGAGAGAGTGGGTTGATCAGAGAGAAATATTGATGCACCAAAGTGTTCAAGGGTTTTTGACTCACTGTGGCTGGAATTCAGTGTTGGAAAGCATATGCGCAGGGGTACCAATCCTTGCATGGCCAATAACAGCTGATCAGCCATTGAACGCAAAAATGGTGGTAGAGGAATTAAAGGCAGGGTTAAGAGTCGATACATGTAATGGGACAGCGAGATCCGATTTTGTGCATTGGAAAGGATTTATGAATATGGTGAGGGAGTTGATGGAAGGAGAGATGGGACAAGAGGTGAGGAAAAAGGTGAAAGAACTTTCAGAGTTGGCCAAGATGGCTATGGAGGAGAACAGTGGATCATCTTGGCGGACACTAGACTTGCTCATTAATGAGCTCTGCAACAAGAAGTAGACGTAAGCCAGTCAGTCTTAATTTCAGCATGTTCTTAAAACTTTTTTATAGCTCTTAATGCATTTGTTGGGATGGAAATCCAAGTGTTAGAAGACATCATGAAACACCCCTATCCTACAAGAATCTGCTATGACCTTTGATTTTCATATAGGACAATATCTCACAAGGTCGGTTGGTATTAACGTGGGATAATTGGGTTTGGATCCTAAAGAAAGTTTAATTTACAGACTAGAGCTTTGTAACAGTAAAAACTATTTGTAGTGTATTTGTGATGCAAATCTGGAATTACTGTCAGCTTTGTTCTGGGAGTTTTGTAGCACTGAAGGAATTTGTCATCGGTAAAATCGTTATTAAAAGTATTACAGATGAATTTTAAGCGTTTATCGATGAGATTTTTTGTCCGTAGAACTTAATTTTCTAGTAATGTAATATCTTTAATGTCTAGATTCTGCTAGCTACTTATGAGATTAAGTATATTTATTATTTTAATCATTTGAAAAGGGAAAGTAAAGAAAAGAATAAATCAAATATTATTTTTATACATACATATAATTTATTTAGAAGTATCATTTAAATTATACTTTCAAAACATTTAAGTAAACATTTAAAAAATTGATATCATATCAAAACATTTCATCAATTACAATGGTCAGGTATAACTTTGTGGTAAATCATAGACTAATTTTTAAAATTATAAATTTATCAATATAAAGCATCATTACGTTAGTTAATTATTAGTTAGTCACTATTATAATCGGTGTTGATGATTATATTGATAATTTCATCATTTTAATTATTGTAAACTATTATAACTCGTTAGTTAATGTTTTATATTAATTATTATAATCGTTAGTTAAGATCGTATGATCATGAATATGTTAATTATTACAAACCATTAATCAGTGTCATAGAATTAATTTTGGTATTGATGATCTCAATTTTTAGAGATAAATTTATAGTTATCATAAAATTATTTTTTTAAATATAAATCAATTTATCATTTCATTCATAAGCATGATTTATCACATATATATATATATATAGAAAAAATAAAATAATTATATGCTTGATCTTATTTTCATGTATCAAAAATAAAAAAATAAAATATTCACTTATTTAGAAACATACATATATACATAAGTTCGTATGAGATTTTAATTATCTTCTTTCGATTTCATCACTTATTTTTTTTCAAAATAATTAATAATCTATTCAAAATTTATTTCAACATATCAAAAATTAATCAACCATTTTAAGGTAATTTAAATTAAAATTACTAAATTATATAAGAGTCGATTCAACTAACTAATGTTGACATTCAGTGCTCCTTTCACTAAAATAATCATATCTCATGATACAACTTGGAGTTAAAATTTTTTTAGTGCGTTAAAAACTAAACTTGATAAGATACTAATCATATATAACCCACTTCTTAATTTTTTGTAGATTAATTATATTAATTTTTGACATTCACATCATATACTGCTATCAAATAGTATGTATATCTTTTAGTAAAAATTAAATATTTATTCATAAGAGATTTAAAATTTAGTTTTGCTTGTTTCATTGAAAAAAAAACTCAATAAACTTTTCAAACATATATAACTCAATTCGTAATTCATTAATAAAAATTAAGAGAATTTTTGTAATTCCTTTATGTTGTTGCCTTGCAGGTTACACTTCTTGAAGTAAAAATTAGACAATTCTTTATAAAAAACTCAAAATTGATTTCCATTTATTTCGTTAGAAAGTAGATTCAATGAACTTTTCAATGCTATATAATACTTATAATAATTTATCTACCAATACAAATTTTAATTTTAATTCACTGTTATAGATAATAACATTTCATTCAAAAATAAAATTTCTCCTTCAAGTTTTAAAAATTTAAATTTTCACTTTCAACCTCGATTTGGATTTCACCGCATAGAAGATATGGTGCGATTGAGTTCACCGCACCACTAATTGAATCCAAATGCCTACTCTAGTAAGGTCCATGCAACATAAATTTTTCATTGAATTTTTTTTTTTAATTGTAGCTACAATAACTTTTTTTTTTCAATCGTAGTTACAATAATTTTAATTACTATTTTTAATCTCACTAGAGACAATCTCACTACCCATCCAAATGGAGCCTTCACCTTTAAAATCCACTTAATCATCATCATTAAATCTTAATAGCAAAAAGAAAACAAAACCCAATAGTTTCCCAAATAAATCTTAATGAAAGATTTCATTTTTTTTTTAGTTTTTTTCTCAAAACTTTAACCCAAAATAATATAAATCAACATGATATTTTTCTTAAATAAAAAAAAAGAAGTATATGCTCACTTTTAAGAGATTAATTTGATTATAATCTTTGATTTCAAATCCCTAACTTGACTTTTTAAACTTTCTAACTTTAAGGAAGATGAAGAAGAAGAACTCTCATTTTCTTTTTTATTTTATGATAAACAAAAATGATAAAGTTTTATCTCATAATACACCTCAACCCATTTTTTTTAGTAATTAATATCTTAATTAAACTAATGGGTTTTGATAATAGTCTAACCTAATTACAATTTGAGTTAAGGTATTATAGTACCATATGTACAAATTCCTTAACTTTTTATAAAAAAATAATATAAAAACAAAAAATTGAGTTACCATATGACCCAGCAGCAATCTCAACTCATCCATTAAATTTGATGCTTATTTAGCTTAAGTTTGCATTTCATCACACCGAATTGAATTTATCACACCATCAATTAAATCCAAATGCTTACTCTAGTGAAATCCATTCAGCATAAATTTTTCTGTAGCAATCTCAACTCATCCATTAAATCCGATGCTTTTTTAGACTAAATTTTAATGCCACTGCACCGGATTGAGCTTATCACATTATCGATTGAATCCAAATGACTATTCTAGTGAAGTCCATTCAACATAAATTTTTGATTGAAATTTTTTTTCAATCGTAGTTACAATAATTTTATTTAATTACAATTATAATAACTTTTATTATTATTTTTAATCTCACTAAAATTAATTTCACCATCCATTAAATGAAGCCTTAATATACCATGTTTTTGTTCTTTCTCTCTTTTTTTCATTTTCCTCCTAAAAAATGAAAAAAAGGAAGAAACATCTCTATGTGGGAATAACTAGCATTATTGCATTAACATGCATGGTCCACGTTCAAACACACCTTAATAAAGACAATTCCAGAAGCAAACAATCCTCTATAAAAGATTGGTACTAGCGTTGCAGTATTGCCACAACCACAGATTCATGATTAGGCCATATAGAGGTGGAAATAGAGTAAAAAGAAAGGACTATGGAGACAAATTCATCTAATTTTTCATTCCATCATGTGGTTCTCTTTCCTTTCATGTCAAAAGGTCACACCATACCAATTCTCCCCCTAGCTCGCCTTCTACTCCGCCTTGGCTTCACTGCTACAGTCTTTACCATGCCAGGAAACCGTCACTTCATTACTAAGTCTCTTGCTGACACTTTTGCATCTATCATTGACATTCCTTACCCTGAAAATATTCCTGAAATTTCAGTTGGTGTTGAGAGCATTGATGCACTACCTTTAATGTCACTCTATGTTCCGTTTTGTAAAGCCATAAAGCTCATGCAACCAGAGTTCGAAAGGAAGCTTCAGAGTCTGCTTCCTGTGAGCTTCATGGTATCAAATGGGTTCTTTTGGTGGACTCTAGAGTCTGCAACAAGTTTGGTTTCCCAAGGTTGGTGTTTTATGGCATGAACCAGCATGCCTTAAGTGTGTCCAAAGCTGTAGCTGTAGACAGGCTTTTGTTTGGGGCTGAGTCAGATGATGAGTTGATCACAGTTACTCAATTTCCATGGATTAAGGTCAGTAGAAAGGACTTTGATCCAAAAATCTCAAAACCTGAACCAAATAATCCTTCGTCGGAGTTATTCATGATCAAGTGATATCAACAACAAACAATTTGTTGAGCCTGAAGTAATAAATATAATAATATAGAAGTAATATATCGCAATAAACTTACAGTAATAGATAACAATCAATAATCAATAATATAAAAAAAATAAAACACACTAAGATTTACATGAAAAATTTTCCAGTATAGAAGGAAAAATCACGAACCACAAAAAAAATCTCCACTATTAGATAAATCCAAATGCTTACTCTAGTGAAATCCATTCACTATAAATTTTTCTATAGCAATCTCAACTCATTCATTAATCTGATGCTTATTTAGACTAAGTTTTGATTCCACTGCACCGAATTGAGCTTATCACATTATCGATTGAATCTAAATACCTATTCTAATGAAATCCATTCAACATAAATTTTTTATTAAATTTTTTTTTCAATCGTAATTACAGTAACTTTTTTTAATTACAATTATAATGACTTTTATTATTATTTTTAATCTCACTAAAATTAATCTCACCACCAATTAAATGAAGCCTTAATATACCATGTTTGTCTTTCTCTCTATTATTTTCCTCCTAAAATGACAAAAAAGGAAAAAACTCTCTAGAATACCTAGATTATTGCATTAACATGCATGTCACGTTCAAAAACCTTAATAAAGACAATGCCAGAAGAAAACAATCCTCTATAAAGATTTGTACTAGCGTTGCATTATTGCCACAAACAGATTCATGATTAAAGCCATAATGAGTTGAAAGAGAATTGGAAAGGACTTGAAGACAAAAATTCAATCTTATGCATTCCATATGTGTTTTTTATCTTTCATGAAAAGGCACACCATAAATCTAGCAGCTCTGCCTTCTAATTCCGGCGGTTCACTGTAACAGTTTACATGAGAAACCACTTTTTACTTAAATTTTGCTGACACTTTGAATATCATTGACATTCCTTACCCTGAAGATATTCCGGAAATTTCAGCTGGTGTTGAGAGCACTGATACACTACCTTCAATGTCACTCTATGTTTCGTTTTGTAAAGCCACAAAGCTCATGCAACCAAAGTTCGAAAAGAAGCTTCAGAGTCTGCTTCCTAT